AAAATATCCTTCTTCATTGATTACGTACGTCTACTCATATAATTGCTTTCTATCATGGGCAATATATTTGAAAATTTATGTGTCTACATGTTTGTCATGTATTGGTATCTTGGACTTCCTTTTCCACGTCATACTTATTAGGCTAGATGTCCATCTCTAAAAGGCAAGATGCGTTTAAGAGGCCTCACACGAGTCCGGTGTTCCCCTCAAGCTATTAATTATAATCTATTCCAAGAGCAATAATCTTATCATGATTTTATTAATTAAGGTGAATCAACTGATTAATTTCGAGAATCTCTCACATTGGCTTTGGAAAATCAAGAGATACCACGCGTCTCTAAACAACAAAGTACTACTTCTCATTATTTAGAAATTGTAGTGATGCATATGATATATCAATAATTTATCCTCCACTCCATTTAGACTCAGTGTCCCTCCAGCTAAATTAATTCTCCTAAGAATGGTAATCCTTGTGTCAGATAGACCATGACTTAATATTGGAAGCAAATTATTAAATTAAAAACTCTTTCACCTACCCGTTGGTGGATCATAAGAGACACCACATGTCTTGAGTTAAAAATTATAGTTATGGTAGAGCGGTTGATTGATGTTCCATGAATTTCAAACTTGACATGTGTCATGCTAGAGGCAGCACTATTGTTCAGATGTATGTATCTAACTCCAAACTGTAAGCTAAGCGATCAAACTTAGTTCGGCCAGCCGCACTTTCCACACTTTGGACGAAAACCGCTCAACTATACCATTAACCACTAAGGGATTCTGTGCCGATGATCTAGTTGTGAAATTACGTGTGTGACCTCCGAGTGGTTGGGACCGACTCCTCTTCCATATAAATACCAACGGAAACACGAGTTCAGATACGTCAAGTTTAATTACGAAATTCAAATTCGATAGGACTAAAATCTGACTTGAACATTGGAGTGCTCAACTTTAGTTTTGCAGTCTTCTCTTAATCTTTGATCTAGTTCATAAGGAAACTTCGTGTAGAAATAGTAATAATTTGTTATCCTCCATTTGAAATTGAGGATTTGAAGTTGCTACTGAGGTATACATTTTATTTACCCGATTGATTATAAAAATGTTTTGATATAGGAGAGAAAACGTATTACAAACTCAATCCACCAATTTTGTAAAATGGCAAAAGAGAAGAAGAAAATAAAAAATCTTAAAGTTCACCAAAAAGATGCTATGACGATAGAGACGCGTGTAAAAATAAAATTCTCATTTACTCATCTACAACCTGAGGTTGAATATATATGTTGTTCCTAAATCATTATTGTTAATTGCCTATCAATATCAATTTGCTTCTCAAAAAAGAAAACTTCAATTCTACTTTGATTGGATCTCAATTTCACCCCTGCATTTTTCAAAACTTTAGTTTTATTTTACTACATTTATCCCGGTGTATTTATTTTACTTAAATAAGTGAGGTTTGAATTGCGGGGCCCGGCGTGGAACGCAGAGGGAGTCATAATATGCATAGAGATACGTCAGGGTGCAGTGCGGTTGAAAGGTGGGAGGTGGGGAGGGGGGACCCTGAAACAAATGAAATGATTGCGGATGGCAACGCACGTGCCATCTCACGTGACTTTATCATTTCAATTCCCCCATGTTCCACTCCAATCAAATCAAATCAAAATTATTTACAGCTGAATCTGAAAAACTCCGAAGCAGCCGCCTCTGATTGCGGCTGACCTAATGATGGACCTCCGTTTGGGCCTGAGCCCAAATCCCCTCCACTAACCCAATCTAATACGGTTGGCCTGCCTGCCAACCCAAAGCATTCAAAATTCCACACATTACTTACAATTATTTATCAAACCCCAATAATTGCATTGGAAAATTTAAAAAGTAAACAAAAAATATGAATAATATAAAGCCCCATTTATTGACTCTGTCATACATTATACAACTAGGTTTTAATTTATAACAAAAAATCAAATTCAACGGTCAATCCATCTAAATGGAAAAGTCCATTCCAACTCCGCCAGCCCGTGGATCGTATTGGTGATGCTTTTGCGCTGCCACTGCAAGGCCAATGTAATCCTCTTTTTCTATTTAATGAAAAATCCTTCTCTCTGTTATTTATTAATTATTTATAAATATATAAAATAAAAAAACGGATTCGGAAATTCCCATCTTCCTCAGCTTCCCTTTTGTCCATTTTTATATTATGTCAACGCAAGGGCTGGGCTGCTGATTTGTTTTATAAAACACAGGGCAAAGAGTGGAGATTGCGAAGGGGAAATGGAAGTGGAAGCGTAAGTGGAGGCTCCAATAAAGCGACGCTAATGGGCCGTGGCTCCCTCGTTTGCCCCGTCACCTCATTGCATTTACCAATTACCAATTACCATCAACCTCCTTTTATTTTTATAAAGCTTTTTCTCAGAATCTTTTTTCCTTTCTCCAATAATTTCCCACTTTCTCTGTTAGATATATTTTTTTCTTGCCAAGCCAAAAGCTGCTCCTGCTGCTTTGTTAATTATTATCTAATCTCCTTCCACGTTCCTCACACTTACAGCGTACAACTTACTCTCCAAATTAAGCAGGCGCTGCTGCCGCTGTTTTCACTTGATCGAAAATCATTCGATTGGGAGTACGATGGAGTTATTTGAGTACCAGCAGCTTTTATACGCCACAGATGGGTTCTCTCCTGCCAGGCTCATAGGCAAAGGATCGCATGGATGGGTTTACAAAGCAATACTGGAGGATGATACGGTGGTGGCCGTGAAGAAGCCATTGGAGAGCAACTCCAAGAAGCTGGAGAACGAAGCGCGAGTGTTGTGTGGTCTAGGCCACAACCCGCTGGTGGTTAACTTTCTTGGAACCAGCGTTGAGAAGAAGAGGCGGCTTCAGCTTCTTGTTATGGAGTTCATGCCCAACGGGAGCCTTCACGATTTGGTTGCGGCGCCCAATTCCGTGACTTGGCCCAAACGCCTCCAAATCATCACGCAGATTGCGCGTGCCGTCCAATTCCTTCACGAGGACCTGGTCATCCACCGAGACATCAAGCCCCAAAACATCCTCTTCGATTCCCATTGGAATCCCAAATTGGCGGATTTCGGGCTCGCCGTCACCGGCTCCGGCTCCGGTCAGCCCGCCGGAACTATTGGGTATTTGGACCCTTGCTACTGCACCCCCGGCAGAGTGAGCACGAAAAGCGACGTTTTCAGTTTCGGGGTGGTTTTGTTGGAGGTTATGAGCGGTAGAAAGGCGATGGACGTGTCGAGATCGCCAGCCTCGATCGTGGAGTGGGCAAGGCCATTGATAGAAGAGCAAAATTACGGACGAATTTACGACAGGAGAGTGGCGGTGCCGAAATATCTGGAGGGGGCGACGAGAAAGGTGTTGGATATGGCGGGTCGATGCGTGTGTGGGGAGCAAGGGAGGCGGCCTTCGATGGGGGAGATTGTGGAGGCCATGGAAATGAGCAGTGCTCTGTGTTGCATTGAACGAGTGAAGCTGTTTCCAGCTTGGTCAAGTCTGGTGGTGGTGAAGCTGATGAGAAGGCGGCGCCGGAAACAGGGCAAGAAACGGCCCTTCAACGTCAACTAGTACTCTGTTCTGTTGACGGTTATTGTGAATTTGAGAAGTGAGATTGGGTCAAATCTCAAATGTGGTGTCGCGGTCAGTGTACAGTGATATAGACAAAGAAGAGCAGTCCAATTCCAAGTTCCAAGCGACTAAACACAAACACAAAGCTCCCAGGATTAGGTATTACTTATTAGGTGGGCCTCCGCATAGGGTTTATGTGCTTGATTATTTCAGTTTTTTCCCGTCAACATCCAATCGAGAATTGATGTTTTAATAATTGAATTATGTGTTTTCGTAGCCGTTAAAATTGCGGAGTAGATGAAATTTGGTACCAAGTATGAGCCCAGCACCTCTCTCCATTATCAACCTCACACACACACACTACTTCAAATGCGCTCCTTAATGTCTTCCAATGCATCAACCACTTTCTATTAATTATTTGCATCTCACTTCACAAAACCCAATAATTCTCTCCTCTCAATAACATAAAATGTGCAATCAAGGTGCTTTATTATGCCTCCCTTTCAAATCCAAACCGTCTTTGCCTGGAATTTATACATAAAATAGTTAACAACTCTTTTATTTTAAACTTGGTTTTCATGCACCTTATTGTAGTGATTCATAGTAGCTTTCCAAAATAAAAATAAAGAGCTACTTGCACACTAATGTGGTTTATGCTAAAAAAAATTTCAGAACTTAGTAATTTAAAGTATTCAATTTTACAAAATTTTGATGCAGTAAACAATATACTTGTATTTGTATGTATAAGAGAGAAAACGAACCATGCTAATTTCTAGATTATTGGTGGGATTATGCTTGCCATTGACAGCACACCACTTGCACATTGTCCGCAACTTAATTGTGACTTGCTAGCATGTCATCTTAAGTGAGTTGCATTTGTATGTGTAAATGATCGCGATTATGTTATTAGATAGGTCTATGTTGTATCTAAAATTATATGATATGTAGGTGTAAATACAACAATACACTACTAATCACGATGTCTTACATGCTAAAAAGCATGATGTGATCTCATTTAAATTAGTGTTCAGATATGCTACAACTCATTGAGACAAGATGGCTTATTATGTGTCTCATTTTTTGACATATTGGTCCTACTTGGATTGGTGGGGTATCCTCTCCTATTTAATTTGGTTGGGCTATAACCCACTTAAGTCGGGACAACTTATAGTATCACTTAGTTAGTCAAACTATGACTACCCTTAATGACAATGGTCTTATTTTGTTCGATTACAACCCACCTAAACAATTAATGGTCTTACCTCGTCAAATTAGTAATTCAATTAAGTTGGGATCCACTATCAAATTCTGTGGTCTAATACCAAGTGCCTAAAGACATACTATCATATGTGCTTGCATGTTCTAGCTAGTGACATAATTGTGTGGGGTTTGGTGTGGATTACTTTAATAAAAGAAAACAATATGGTTAGGTAAATCTATTATAAACGTTATTAAAATATATATCATAAAGAAAATATATTTTATTAATTTAAGCAATTTGACACACCCACAATTATTATTTCTTCAATGCAATAAAAAAATTTGATATATATAGTTTGAGTTATAAAATATGATATACATCAATATGAAGACTGCATTTTAATTTTACCTGCATCAATTATTATTTTCAATATCTGAGAAAAAAAATACCAAACATTTTATTTTCGAAAACAAATAAGTGTTCGCCTGAAAAACGGAAAAGATATAGTTGTTGGAAAAAGATTAAGACAAAAAAAAAACTAATAAATAAAGATAAAATTTAAATGCTTATTAAAAACTATTTATCATCTCCATATAATTAAAAAAATTTACAATTAAAAAAGAAGTGCATAACAATTGAGGGAAAAAATTAGAATAAATATTTGTTAATTTTTAACGATGGACGCAGGAAGAAGATACAGCCACGGCAACTCGCGTTAGAAAGTTAGAAGGACTATGTCAACCTTTACATGTTTGACTAATTCGGAAAAGAATGGAAAATTGGGCTGAATAGCATTTTTGAAAAAGTCATTCCCTCGTTTTTATGTTTTTGTAAATATTTGCTGACATCACCTCCATTCCATTCCAAATTACTGCTATATCCTTCCACTAACATACTTACAACTTTTATTTCTCTTTTTTTTTTCCATTTGAATCTCATATTCTCTCCCATTCTCACTCTTCTCATTCTTCATCTTCCTCTCTCTGTGTTTTTCATTTTCCCCTCTCTGTGTTCTTCTCTCTTTTCAAATTTTTTAGATTTTTTTGAATTTCAAATTTCTCTTTTTTTTTCTTCAAAACATTTTGAATTTTATGGATTTCAAACTTTATCTTTCTTCAAATTTTAATTTTAAAATTAAAATGAACAAATTTTTTTAGATTTTTCTCTACCTCTGTTTCGTATTTAAAAAAAAAAATTTGAGTATTCTTTGACCAATGAAGTATACATTCGCGGAGAGAAAAGAGAGAACCAAAAAACGAGAAGAGAGAGGGAGAAAAACGAGAGCGAGAGAGAGCGAAAAAGAGATCGAGGGGAGGAGAGAGAGCGAGAGAGAGATGGAGAAACAAAATTTAATGAATTTTCAAAATTGAAATGATGAATCTTTTTTTAATTTGAGAAAATATCACCAAATCAATAAAAATTCTCTCGTATCTTAATATTTTAATAATATAATTCACGCCAATTTTTTAAAAGAAGAAAAAATCCACATAAATCTAACTTAAATGCTCTGATATTAAAAAAAGAAAAAAAATTGAAAAAAACAGAAAGGGGGAATTAAAAAAAAGAGCGAGAGAGAGCGAGAGAGGAGAGAGAGAGGAATTTTCTTTGATTTTTTTTTTTTGAATACCCCGTTTCTGTTTTCTTTCTTTGATTTTATTTATTTATTTTTTTAATCCTCTATTTCTGTTTTTTCTTTTTTTTTCAGTATTTTTCCTTTTTTTTAATACCAATATGGAGCTGATTTAGGTTGATTTTTTTCCTTTTTTTGAGAAGATTTGCGTGAACTTTATTATTGGAATATTAAGATGTGAGAAAATTTTTGTTGATGTGGTAATTGAATTTTAAAGTTTCAAAACTGAAATCTTTTTAATTTGACAATCAATTACCAATTCAACAAATTAACAAAAATCCTCAGCTTAAAATTACGGAAATCTTTTAAAAAATGAAAAAATAAATCCACGTAAATCAACTTAAATGCTACGTATAAATATTTAAAAAAGAAATGAAACTATTTAGAAATATTTTGTAAAATTAAAAAAGTTTGGAAATATAATTTTGCAAATACTTTTAAATTTGCAAAAAAAAAAAAACTGCAATCCCATGCTAGAGAGGACGAGAGAGAAAAGAGAGAGAGCGATTTTTTTTAACTCGCTTCTCTCTTTTTTCTTTCCTTCTCTTCCTTTCTCTTCTCTCTCTTCTCTCTCTTCTCTCTCTTCCTTTCTCTTCTCTCTCTTTTTTTCCTTCTTTTCTTTACTCGAATATTCTTTTTCTTTTTCCTTAACAAAGAGAAAGTTTGAAATCCATAAATTCTAAAAGGGAAAGTATCATAAAAATCTAAAAAATTTGAAAAGAGAGAAGAAGAGAGAAGGGGGAAGAACCACCGAGAGAGATGGGGAGGAAGGAGAGAAAAAATATGAGATTCAAATAGAAAAAATAGGAGGAAAGTAATATGTAAATGGAGGGGTAGGACAGTAATTTAGAATGGATGGTCAAATCAGCAAATATTTAAAAACATAAAAATGAAGAGATGAACCAACATTTTATAATAGGCCTTCCAAAAAGACTATTTAACCCGAAATCCCAAAAGAAAAAGTAATAATAACATAAAGGAGAAGACATGGAGGAAAGGAAATAAAAACCGGACCGAGCGGCTCGGGAGGGGAAAATGAAGCGGTTCTTTGCAGACTAAACCAAAACCAGTAAACCGACATGAGCACGGAACCTGAAAGCTTCCGTGTCTCTCCTCTCCCCCATCCCGTGCCCTCTCCATCCCTTCCCTTCTGCTTGTCATCGATTTCGATTGAATTTAGTCTTTCGAGCTTTTTGTCGATTGGATTGAGTTTCTCTATCTCTACAATAGCTTGGAGGAGAGAGGACAGGGACATGGAGACTCACTTTAATCACAATCTATTTGACAGGCGACCCATTCTGAAGAACAAGACTCCTGCTGTCAAATGGATCAAAGAATGGTAATCTCATTCTTCAGTTTCTATTTTCCCGCCACATAATACTAATTTTTCACTTCACCGTCCATGCAACTCTTTCCCCGCTTAGGGCTTAATTCAGGAGCTATAACTGTCTGATTTCCAATAATTTTCGATAATAGAAGCTCAAATAAGTGGTTTTTAGAAGGGGGAGGTTCAGAGACACTTGCAGCTCCTTCACGGCCTAGGTTGAAATCATGTGATTTAATTGTTTTCGTTAGTAGTAGCATTGAGAGTGGAAAATACAATCAAATAGAAGTTTTTTTTAGAAGAAATCAAGAAAAGACACTCAATTAGGAAAGAACCAAAATTTTGTATCGTACCCATGCCTTGCTGGAAAATACGCCCAAATAAATATTGTTTGGTAGTAACAAAGAAAATACAGACAAATAGAAAAGAACTGAAATACCGTATTGTATCCATGCCTTGCGTTTAGGTTGTAAGTTCCTTCTTAATCATGGTAGTTGCTTTTTTTCTTTAGGGTCCCTCAAGATGTTGTTGCAACTGGAGGAAAGTGCTTTCTTTTGAAATGGGTTACAGGTACAATTTAATTCATTACTACACTGTTGAATTAATGTTGTGTAGAATGTGAGCTTTAAGGGTTCACCATAGCAGTTAAAAGTCTTTTGACATTCATTCTATGTTCGTGCTACTCTGTAACTTTTGGAGCTCCGTATTCTGGTTATTAGATTCTTAATTTTCAGATCACCAATTGTCCGTCTGTAGGAATTTCATGGTTTGGTGGATGTCTTTCTAAAAGTTGACCTTTGCTTTAGAATGTTTAATGTCTGCTTATAGTTACCAAGCCTTAAAACCTTTCATAAACAACTAGAAAGCTGTTGAATATTTTTGTTGTTTGAATGGATATAGTACCTTTATAAATTTTGGATGTTCATGTGGTACTTCTAATGACTGATTTAATTTTTTTATTTTTTATTATTATTTTTTAATGATACTGGAATCCGAGAAGTGGTTTTCCCCCTCCCCCTTTCATCTAGCTACCTGTACTCCCTACATGGAGTAAATAAAATAAATTCTCTAATATTACTTGAATTAGGTCCCCATGCTTATGTCTTTTCTATTTTTGGTTTGTTTATATTTGCTCATAATTTTTTTTTGGTTCTTGCTCAGAGGATACCTTGAAGGCATTAAAGGAAAAGGCAAAACAGTCTGAGGCACCCGAACCTGAACCAGAACCAACCACTGAAGTGCTTTTCCTTTGTAGTTACGAGGGCTGTGGAAAAACATTTATTGATGCAGGTGCCTTGAGGAAGCATTCTCACATTCATGGGGAGAGACAATATGTTTGTCACTATGAAGGCTGTGGAAAGGTACTGTTCTCATCTCAACTTCTTTGCAAGCAATTTTTAACATCTCAGATATGTTAGAATTGAACTATGATTGATTTAAAATTCCATTGGAAATTCAATGTATGTATCTGGCATGGTATTCAACTTTGGTGTTATTATTGCAGAGTGACTAGCCATTTATCAGAAGTATATAAATTTTCACTCATCTTTTTCTTATCATATTTGGAAATGGTATTTTGATCTGTTTTTCACGATATAACTTTGTATGTTTGAGAATAATAAATAGGATTTTGTTGGGTTAACTCCCTTTGTACCAAGTGAGTGGAAGTGGGTGTACTCTTTCTTAATGTCATTTGACATCAATAAGGTGTCATTATTATTCATCAAAATTTTCTCTCACATGAATTTGTTCTGGTGTTACAAACTGAAAATAATATATTTTTTTTATTGCAGAAATTTTTGGATAGTTCGAAGTTGAAAAGACACTTTCTTATTCATACTGGTGAAAGAGATTTTGTGTGTCCTCATGAAGGCTGCGGTAAGGTGATTAATCAGTCCCCTGTGAAAAGTCTTTACAGATTTTGTTTGTTTTTCATTTATTTGAGTCCATCAATGAATTTGTTGCTCCTTTTTTAATAAAAACAAGCATTTCATTAAGATAGGGGAATAAAGGTACAAAAGATGGTTTATTTGGTTGAACGCTATCAAAGCCTTGATATGGCTGTATGGGAGCCATGGTTGGAATGAAATAACAGGATTTTTTTTTGGAGAAGCCTAAAGAGAAGGAACTTAACATATGTTGAATAATTAAAAATATATTTGTATTATTCAACCTATGTTAAGCTGTCTTGGAGTAGTTTTGAGAAGCTCCTTGGACTGGTGTCTTTTTACCCTTTCTTGTTCTATTTATACAAATTCTTTTTCGCATGAAAAAAATGAGGGGCTTGATTAAACATCCAACCAAAACCAAGGAGATTATGAGAAGGCTTCCAAATTTGTCAACAACAATGAATTTGTTGCTTATGAGACATCCAACCAAAACAGTTTTTTTCTCCTTGAACGGCTTGTTATAGAGTGTGGCAGCTTGTGTAGCTGGTTGCAATTCTGATCTGACTCCAGAAAACTTGACCTACGTATTAATGACTTTTCTTTTGCCATTGCAAGTAAGAAATATGTCAACCATGCTCTTCAAAAAATCTTTGGTGCTGAAACGACAGTAGACTTGCTTGCTTACTGAATTGTATATATCATGTTTCTTGTTGTTAGTGTTTGGACTTATCTTAGAATGGCCAGACCAGGAACATTTATTCCTTCTATGCAACATTTATTAGTACCTAGTTTGTGCTTTGTGCACATTAGTATGTGCAGCACGAGAAAATCAGTTGAGCATGCAAGATAGTTTCTAACCTTGTCTGTGTAGCTTATTTCTTTACTCGTGAAGTGCAAACCTCTCCATACTCACCTTTTAGATGATTATCTTTAGGCATTTTCCCTTGATTTCAACTTGAGATCGCATATGAAAACGCATTCACAAGAAAACTATCATATCTGTCCATACCCTGATTGTGGAAAGAGATTTGCCCACGAGTACAAATTGAAGAACCACATTACGTCTCACCATGAAAAGGTAACAACTTGTTCAGGACATTGCTTTAGCTCTCATGTAGTTCCATTTTCATTCTTATATTTTTTCTTCACACTCTTCCAAGAAGAATAACTTGTATTCAATATCAGTTTATTGTTGGCTCTTAGGATTTGTTAAATGTTAGTAAGGTTTTCTCTTGTTTATGACAAGACCATCTTTTAAGTTGGGCAGCCATTCTAGGTAGACTCTTATTTTTACATTCAATTCTGTCATCTTTGTAGAATGTGCCGGCTGAAGTGGTGAAGTATACACCACCTTCTGAGAAGCAAATTAAGGTTTCTAAACCTTCTGGAGGAGCTTACGCATCTGCATCGTCAGATCGCCCATACGGTTGTCCATACGAAGGGTGTGAAAAGGCTTACATCCATGAATACAAGCTCAAACTCCATCTGAGAAGAGAGCATCCTGGACATCTGGTAGAAGACAATGGCAATGCTCCAAATAATGGGGAAAATGAGATAGATGCCAGTGATCAAGATGGGTATGGTGGAAAACGGGTAAATAAGAACCAGAAACAGAACAAGCCTAAACCAAACTTGAAGTTACCACCTTCAAAAATATCACAGCGAAAAGGCACAACCCCATCTCCTGCCCCTATAAGTGCAGTTAAAAAATCATGGCCAGTTAAAGAAGAAACATACGAGGAAGAAGATAGCGAAGAAACAGAGGAGGACCGTGATAACGTGGACGAGGGTTGGAGATATGCAGAAAATGAAGATGATGATGAGGAAACAGAGTACGAAGATTGAATCTTAGAAATGGGCGGCTTGTATGTAACTACTTTTGCCCGTTTAAAAAGTTCCGCTGTATCTGAAACTAGTAGTCTTTTTCTTCTTCATTTTCATGTTTTTTGCGTTTTTGTTCGCTCACATATCTGATAGTAGGAGGTGATAAAGTATTAAATCGATTCCAGATGGAAATTATGATTTATTTTGATTAGCATTGTGTGTGTGGAATGAAGCATGTCTGTGTTCGTTCCTCGAGAATACATTGATATAACCCATTCTTTTGAACTCTGATTGTTCATCAAGCACTAAAGATGTTTTTAAGAGTATATGTCTATTATCAATATCAAAATTAACTAATTCAGCTATGCTTAGGTTAGTTTTTACTAGAGATTTTCTGTATCAATGATTATGTGGGCAGATATTTGTTACCAAATGTCTTTAGTTTAGTCTATCCAAATGTTGTGATGCTAAAAAGCAAGTTTGATTTCAACTGATCAAAATATTTCTCCTCCTTGCTTCTCTCTTTGCTGTTTTCTATTGGAAGGTTAAATTAATTTTCTTCTAAAATCAGTTGCATTGCTAATCTTTTCCTTCCATACACGTTAATTACTCTAATGGAAAGTTGTAGGTAGATATGATTATTCACACACACACATATGTATATATTATATTGTCCTTTTTTGGGTAGGGTTTTTAGATTTAATGTTTAAATTTGTGTTTTTTAACCTCCAACCATGAGCCTCTGAGTTTGAAATTCCTCTCCACGTATTGTACTTGGGAAAAAAAAAGGTTATTTTTAGTATTTTTAATGCTACATTTAAGGATATGATTGGGTTTTTCCGATATTGTTATGGACCGCCCAACCCAACCAAAAGCAAAACATAGGTCTAAAAAGAGAAATTAAAATGAAAAGCAAAAGCATACGTATTGAATTACTTTTTTTAAGGAAAAAAAAAATATACACACACGTATTGTATTATAATTTATAATTTGGCTTCATTTTGATTTGGTTGAGACTGGGAGAGAGCGAGAAGAAGGTTGTGAGTTGGGAAGTGGAAGTCGACAATGGCTGCCGCTGCCGCTGCCTCAGCATCCAGTTCAGAGGAAGAGATAACATTGACGCTGAAGTGGAGCGGAAAGGAGTATACTGTGCGAGTTTGCGCAGATGACTCGGTGGGTGAGCTGAAGCGTCGAATCTGCGAGCTTACTAACGTCTTGCCCAAACGCCAAAAGCTTCTTTATCCCAAAGTTGGATCCAAGCTAGCCGATGATTCGCTTTTGCTTTCTCACCTTCCGCTCAAGTCTTCTCTCAAGATGACCATGATCGGGTTCCACCTTTTAACTCCCTCTCTAATATTATTATTTACTGCATAAATTTAGTTTCCCCTTATTTGGAAAAATAGGTCATCACTTCGATTCCTCCATTCAACAAATCAACAAATTGAGGCTCCACTGTGTTGCTTTAGAAATCGTTGTGAAAATGCTAAAATCTGAGTGTAACATTTGCCTTCTGAACGCTGAACTGCACTGAATTTATTTTGAAGGAGAATCCTTGTCCTGCTCTAAGCTTGGAGACGCTTTTTAGTTTGCGAAACAGAAACGGGAATATTATTTCTCTTTGTGTTATCCTGCAATTCCATGTTTTTCACTTGCATTTGCATATTCTTGTTTTAAAACTCACCAAGTGATTTGAATGTTACAACTCGGGTTACCAGAACTGTTGAAGATGATATTATCGTGGATCAACTGGACTCCCCTGAAATTATTGACGATTTTGAACTTGGGAAAGATGAAGTCATTGACATTAAGGATAAGGATGTCAATAAGCAGAAACTGAGGAGACGTATTGGTCAATGCAAGGTGAGTTGTTTCTTCTCTCTCTCTCTCAATGATGTTTAGGGACTTTAGTTTGTACTTCATGAATTTTAAAGTTCAAGTAGTTGGAAACTTATTAGGGGGCTATGGATCCTTCGTACTACAAGATGTGACTAGTTATAGAAGAATCTTGATTGTATGTCCTAAGAGGGAGTGCGTGTTTACAATGCTGACATTTTCATGTTTTACATCTTCGTCTCTGTGCAATTACTGAGTTTGTTTCTCCAGTGGTGCAGTTGTTGATTTCTCTTTTTCCTCCGTTTAGCAAGCGATGCATGTCAGGGATTTTGCGTTGATGGTTTATTTATGTGGGGGACAAGATTTAGTTGCATAGAACATAGTTTTGTACTTTGTACCAATCCCTTCGTTTGATTGCTCATACAATGATTTGATTTTGAGTTATTGGCATCTGAAAAATCTTATTGTAGTCATCTTGACTCATTGAGTACAAATGTTTCTCCCACATTTGTTGGATTGTAGATAGAACTTCGCAATCCATGCCGTGAAGGGAAGAAATTGCTTGTTCTGGATATTGATTATACGCTTTTTGATCATCGCTCTCCTGCAGAAAATCCTCTTCAACTCATGCGGCCTTGTATGTTCCATCTATAATTGGTTTTTTTCTTTGATTGGTCTGGTGTGTGTGTGTGTTCTATGTTTTCTTCTTAAATAAATAAATATGAAGTTATTAGTTTGTCAAGTGCAGATCTTCATGAATTTCTGACAGCTGCTTATGCTGAATATGACATCATGATATGGTCAGCAACCAGGTCAGTTTCCATATCCAGGTGTTACAAACTAGGTCATGCTGCTGCCTTTTCTTGCCCCATTTCTTTTTTTTTCCTACTCCTTTTTATAGTGGTATCCACTACCCCAACATAGTTGCAGACATCTTCAACCTATGGAAAAAGAGAAAAACGTAAACGAATTTTCAACTGAACGAATGATGTAGATTTAAAATTTCTTGGCAATGTAAATCAACTTAGAAACACCTTGATTGGAATATAAAGTTTCATGTCCACATCGCTTATACAGTTATACTAGAAGGAAGAAAGTGAATAATGTGAGGTTAGGAACTTTTGGGCTTTTATTATAATTCCATCAGTAAGGGATGCATGGGAGCGAGCAAGGAAGTTAGTTAGATGTCAGTGTATTGGTGAGGAATTGCGTCAGGATGAGGCAAGAAAAATCTCGTGTTTTCGACTGGAGCGGAACTCCAGCTGAGAGAGTTGCAAACTGTAAAAGTTTTGAGAATATTGTAATGGCTCCACAGACTTATACAATTGGTCCACTCTTCTTTTATGTTCTATCACACCCTTAACTCAAATAGTAGATATTCCAATGCAAACATGTGCATGTGTTATAATCTGGCTTGCTGTCAGTGTAATAGTTGTTGTCATCAATTTCTTGGAAGACTTTCGGATTTGCGAACCTCTTGTTCGTTTACCTTTTGTACCTTTTCCTTTGGCAGCCTTAAGTGGGTTGAATTAAAGATGGGACAGCTCGGTGTTCTCAACAATCCAAACTACAAAATCACTGCCCTTCTAGACCATTTAGCTATGATCACAGTTCAGTCAGATCATCGTGGGACCTTCGATTGCAAGCCACTAGGCTTGATCTGGGCACAGTTTCCTGAGGTATGCCAATGATTACAGTCTGACTGTTTCCAGGGAAATGGAATTCTTCTTTTTCTTTTGAATTGGTACTGTAAATTATTAAAAAAGAAACAACCATGTTGATTGTTGATAAAAGAAGAGTTATTTCTGATAAGAATAAAGGAACTTTTAAAATGCTTTGTGTTAGTGAGGCTGTATATCTGTCGAGGTTAATAAATTTTTGTTTTCATTGGAATTTTGCAGTTCTACAATTCGAGAAATACTATAATGTTTGATGATCTTCGGAGAAATTTTGTAATGAATCCACAAAATGGTCTGGTAATAAAGCCATTCAGGAAAGCTCATGCAAATCGTGATAGTGACCAGGAGCTTATGAAGCTGACGCAATACTTGCTTGCCATTGCGGAGCTTGACGACTTGAGTTCTCTTGATCATAATGATTGGGAACTATACACTGAGGATGCTCCAAAAAGACGGCGGCATGCATGAGTAGCAACATCTACTTCGTTATTTTATTGTCTATTTGAGGTAAAGCTCTTGTGACAATTTTAAGATTACGCAAGTGTCTGATTTTGAGTTCAGGTGGCAAGCCAGTTCAGTTTAAAAAGCTTAAGAAGCTTGAGGCCAATTTCAAAGATTCAGAAAACGGACTCCATAACTTTTAACCCTATACAAAGCCTGAGCTTGAGCTTAATCAGATTTCTTATTACCCTGTCGTATTCTCATGAAACTTCCTGTTTTCCTTTTCAGGGGTTCTTATAGAGATTTGGATCTGAAGGGGCTTTAACCAACGATTTCAATTCTCTAATGAGAACACCATCTACTTTTGGTGAACTTTTGTTCTGTGGTGGCATAATTTATAGATTGCTATGAATATTACCATGTACTAAATGACTGGGCGCATTTTTTATGTTTGCAAATATTTATTTCCTTTAGGGTATAGATAGCATGGAGTTATATAAAGGCAGTGCAACCATTGTTTTCTCTTTCCATATGACAATTGCACATCCAAAACTTATTAGCAACCATTGGAGAAGCGTTGAAGGTGAAATTTAATATCATTAAGTGATCAGAATAAAATTATGAAGCATTCTTCTGTATGGCCCCAATATAGCATGTAAATAAGCAAAGATATGAAGAGTATCTCCGTTCAAATGGCGTCAGTGGAGCTTGTACATCTGCCCACAATCATGTATGGCCACTGAAATTGTTAGATCCATCATGTCATGCCCACGACATCCAAACTTATGGATGCATTTGCATTTGATGGGAAAAGAAAAAAAAAATTGCTCCCCAACCCCAAAAGGAACGTTGGACTTATAAAATACAATACACCTATTAGAATTACGGTACATCGTCACAATAAACCATAGAAGACCATTCGTAGATAATATATATCACCTCCGGCAAAGTCACCCGCCCCAAAGAGAACATTTTGCAGTGCAGCAATGACAGCCAGGTGCTTTTCATTAACATCTACTATGGCCAACAAACAAATGGAGTGCTGACTGCTCACTGGCCTCTGGTTATCCTGCACGACAAATCCACAAACTGGGCAGTGGCCCCTCCGAACAACTTCAACTGATTTACAAATCTAGATGTGGACTTGCCCCGTCACGGACTCCGCACCCGCATGCCCGTCCTGTCTCAAAGACAGATTACCAAACTGTGTCTCAAGGTCTCTGCTCTTGCTGCGTTTAAGGCTGGAAGGTGGTAACTGCGGCTGCTGCTGTTTTTGATACAACACTCGTAGTCTTCCAATCTCCCTCTCCAGCACTTCATGCTCCACTATATATAATAACATCACATTGACGTCTTCTTAGAAAAGCAACTTATGGAAACTACATTTCTTTTTTGGAAATTCAGTTGGAAATGAGCAGAATTTTCATCTCAAACCAATTCAACATCATAAAAAGATGGTCATTGGAACCAACTGTTAAAAGTCAAGTTGAGAGTATGGAGGCTCACAGTATTTTATAAGCTGCTCCTGAGATAAACTTTCCAATCGTTGCTTGAGTGCTTTATTCTCCATGCTAAGAATTAAGTTTTGCTGACTGAGAAATTCGAGCTCGGCAGAAACTTCAGAGCCTTCTGCTTGTAAAGCTTGTACGTTCCTTTCTAGCTCTGCAATGTACTGAAGTTTCCGTACACGTGAACGTTGAGCAAATTGCCTGTATTCATAACATGTCAAGTTAAATCATAAGGTAGAATCCTCTCTGCAACAACTTTCACTTCAATTCTGCAACTTATATTTAGTTGTCACTACCACAGACATCCATTCAATTCAGTAAGTTTGATATTCAGATCCTCTCCAAATTCCTGTATGAGCACACGTCCCAAAATTGAGGGTGGGAAAGAGGGGTGCATTAACCTATCAAGAAAGTGCCACAGAAGAATACCTATGTAGAAAAATAACCAATTCTGCTCACAATTGGAGGAGATGCAGATAATGTAGGTCATAGTGCCCCGAAGTATAGCATAATACATCCAAATGCAGATATAAAAGCACAACAGATAAAAACTTAAATGATCCACATAATAAGACGAGGGATTGAATAGGAAAAAACGACATTGCATTTCCAAGCACCTAAGAACAATTTAACAATTGTGCAAGACTGATGCTTTTCTACAAGTTGAATTCTAATTATACCACCAAAAAAATAATAATAAATAAATAACCCTCCAATTCTAGTATTAGACTTCCTCAACACAGATCCTGAGGAAAGAAAAACATTAAACTAATTCCAGTGAAAAGCATACCACAAAACTCAAAAAGACTAGAGTAACAGGTTCCGACATGAACTAGCTAAAGATGGCACAGGACTAACAAATAGACTGGTAGTAACTGGGAGACACGGTTGCAAGCCAGAATTCAAAATTTTGTGCAGAGAGAGAGAACTACTTTTGATATAAAAAATGTAAATAATAAGTAATGCAAAACTTACTGTTTGGCTCTTTTATTATCTGTATCAGTCAGAACTGGCTTAACATTAGGACTTTCTATTCTCTGAGTTGGCTTCGGATCCTGCAGACCAGTTTCTGCTGAATCCTGCTTTTCAGTAGTCGTTGACGATAATCCATTTGCTTCCAGTGGTGTACTTAATGGCCTTGAACTTTCAAGAAGAATGCTACTCTTTGCAGATGGGTGAACACCTTGATTAGGAATCAATGTAGTTGGAGGCAATTCCCGTGTCCTGTTCTTTTGTTTGATCCAGCTTGCTTGCATATGAAATGAAGTTTGATGTGCATCTTTCCGGGGTTCGAAGTCTAGTGATGCCCAGGAAGGTAAAGATATATTTTTACATCTCGAGTCATCTTGAGTATACTTTGCATTGGAAACATTTACTGCATCTAGGTAGGCAAAGGAATCACTCGATGAACGTCGATGACCACCTCTTTGAACAGGTGTTTCAGGCTCATCGAGGAGATCATCAAGCCAAGAAGGTTGCTCCTCCATCAGAAGACTTCCAGATGATGTTCGATGGTGGTGCACATTTCCCTCTCTGGGATTCTGCACTGCTCTTGACCCAATAATTGGATTGGGGAAATAATCAGTAAAATTTGAAGAGGAACCACTAGGAAATGGACTTTTAGGAGGAAGTAGAGCATGCTTTCCAGAGTACATCAGATTTCTCATGTTTAACAATGCCTTAGAATTCTCCATGACCTTAACCACGCAAGTTTCTGCCAAAAAGCATTCAAACAAGTACAGTGAAGGAAGAAGCAAAACATCAACATTGTATGTTAAATATCAACTGTTGCACGTATCTCTTAATTAAATCAGCCAGACCCAGGATTTACAAGTGCAGAAAGAACCACAACAACCAAAGCCAATCATGAAAACAATACATCTTTCCTCAATCTAAAACAACATCATATGTAATTCTTCCAGCAAGAGCCACAATTTCAACAAAATTTAGCAATATGAGTATGTCATTTGAATTCTGGACGTAGGTGTAGAATGCCAACTGCTGTTGTTATCTAGACACGTTATCTTAAGGGGAAGAATTTTAAATCCTGACATAATGCGCTTTGTTTTATAAGTAGCCATGAATACAAAATCTATTATTATTTATGGAGAATTAAGCATGAACGTAAATCAAAATCAAAGAAGTTAACATCAAAGTCGCAACTGGCAACTCACAATCATCTTGAAAGTTACATGCATGCGCAGCAGGCATCACTCTTGTACCAAAGCAGAGAGTAAAAGGTACAAAGAAAGATCCGCAGGAAAGAGCAGCGAGGAAGGAGATAGATACTGCTCCTTCCCTCGAAATGAACCCCAAAAACTTATGAGCAAATTTTGCAGCGTTTCGCAGATCTCTTGAGGAGTTGATATTCATGCTAACATTACCCCGATCTACCACTATATTCCATAGTCATACACAGAATTTGGTGATAGGGAAATATAATCCACAGTTAGCAAGCTCGAATTATCGGATTCGATTCTGCATCATTTTACGACAGACAAGTTCAAGCTATTTATGAAAAATGAAATCTAAAAAGGAGAGAGAGATAAGATCCACAAATACATACATGCAGTCGGTACCGAGAACTCGTATTTTTTTCCTAAAAAACAACAGATGGAGAAGAAGGAGGGAACTTCGTGTATGCACGGGTTGAAGAAAAAAGAAGTTTAAAAAGAATACCAACGCCACAATTTCTCCTCCCGCATTGCATCTGCAATCATAGGGAGGGATGGAGAGAGAGAAGCAAAACAAATATAGTTTCTGAAAGGAGAACACAAGATATAAATGATTTCACGAAGCAAAATGCAGCCCGCTCCGGAGTCGGCTGAAGATTGTGGATAGCTAAATGTAAAAGGCAAACGCAAAACCATTGATATCCTTACATTCAGAAGAGAATCGTAAAATGTATGAACAGCTCCTGAAATGCAAAAAGATTAGGGAAGATTAAAGAAATAGAGTGCATACCACAATGCCGATTGGAAGACCGAGATCTTGTAAAATGCAATGGGAAGGGGAATCGAGTTGACGCAAAGTTAATTTCTGCGTACCGTCTCTCTCTTCCCCCGGCCTAGGGCATGCTTGCCCTCTCTCTCTCTCTCAGAGTTGTTCCAGTTTTGGGGTTGAATTATGAATTAGGTAGTAGATTATAAATGAAGGCAAACGCAAACGCAAACGCAAAGCCTAACATTAAACAAACACAAAATTATTTATTTGAATCTCTCAGTTGCTGGCTGCCTTAGCTGTCATTTGCTCAACACCATTCATATATGATATGGCATATGACTTTTACACCCCTCTCTCTTTTTCTTTTTTTTTTTAGACAATTCCCAAAGTCCAAGTGGACAAACAACATACAAACAAAAGCAAAAACAAAAGTTTTACATTACATATAATTCATGGGACTCACTAAAAATTTTAATTTAATGTCATTCTTTTTTTTGTCAATAAGGATTCAGGAGGCAGCGACGGCAAGGGAAATGGCGAAGTAAAAACTTATACATATTTGTTGATACAAGGATCCAAATTAGTTGTACTTGTACATGCCAAATATAGCTAAAAAGCTAAGATGCAGATAGAGGAATTGGCTTCACAGCACATTGGATTCGCCGGAATGCTGTTTTTACTCTTTCCTTCAGACCTTCATTTTCACTCTCTACCTCCCCACTTTGTTTATCCAACTCCGCTATACTCCCATCGACGTTAATCACCAGCTTCCCATTTTCTCCCAACTTCACATCGCCAAAAAGTGAAACAAGGAGCGCATGGATTACCTTCTCTGCTTTCTTCTCGTTCTCTTCCTCTGTTTTTGCAGCCTCTGACTCCACAATTACTTTCGGAACCTCGCGATTGATGTTCAGGATTAAAGCTACAACAGAATCTGATACCATGTCGCTTAACGGGTCTGACGTCCAGTGAAGTGACACGTGCTTCTCCGACTCATGCTTCACTGTCACTCGATCGTGCACACAAATTGCCGGAACCCCAGACTCCTCATCCGTCAAAGATTCTACACTCTCATATACCTGTTTGAGCCGACGCACAATCACATTAAAGGCGTTGGAGTATGGAATTGTAATACGCTGGTTAATGTTTGCAGTTGATAGCTGAGAGAAGATGTGTAGATCATCTGATGCCATTATCTGATACGCAAATCCTTTCTTCACCAGTAAACCGCTGACAGTTTCACCAGCCTCTGGGGTCTTCTCGGCCAATCTCCCAATAGTTTTTGCCATCTTCTGAGAGTTGAAGTACATTTCTACAGACTGACAATTCTTGGGAGTAAGAATTTTTGTATTCCGATCGGCAAACTGGGATATAAGCTTCTGTTTGAGCCTCCCCATCTCATTAGCTTCTCCATGCACAAGAATTATATTGGGTGGCATGAGCTCTTCCAAGAATGCGCTGGTCTGTGCAAAGTCAGCATGGGCAGAGAAGGAAATGTAATGAACCTGCATGTTGAGAGGAGCCATAAGTCCATTCATGAGGGTAACTTCCTTTGGTTCATTGATTATAGTCTTAGCCAATGTCCCTTCAACAACATAACCAGGAAGCACACAGGCATTCTTCTTATCAGAACACCACATGTCAAAGAGTTGTCTTGACAAACCACTCTGAAGGCCACCAGGGCTGGCCATCACCACAGATGGACCAACATCCTTAAAAACTTCAATACTCTTTAGTGGGGATATGTACTTGAATCTAAAGGGATTTGATTTAGCATTCTGGATCCTATCATTCATTGAGAGTGTGTATGTCTCGTATACAGTCAAACATCTTTTTGCCAGAGGAGAGGCATAATATATGGGAATATTATGGAGCTCAGGATGATTCGCCCAGTACTCATCAAGAATAAGGAGGAGTTCCTGGGCACGGCCAAGGGCAAAAGCTGGAATCAGCACACGACCACCTTGAGAAATGGTCGAATGTACCACATCAGTGAAGCGCTTTTCTCGGATATGTCGTGGTTGATGGAGCTGAACACCGTATGTAGATTCAATTATGCAAACATCAGGGGAAAATTGAGGCATTTCAGCAGCTCGAAGATGCCGATCTTCTTCACGTGAATAGTCTCCAGTGTAGAGGACTCGGACACCAGCAATATCCACCATAAACATGGCAGCACCAAGGACGTGACCAGCAGTGTAACACCAAAACCGAATACCATTTACTTCTACTGTTTGATGGAAATCAATGACCTGAAATTACTGTCCACTGTTATTAAATAAGAGAAGAACTGACGTACAGAATTGTTAGACAGGACGCATGGAGATGAAAGCTATGCAAGTTGACAACAACATAATCAATATAAAGCAATGTGCATTCTGATATAGATGGTTCATTATCACCATTATCTCGTGGGCCAGTGAGATAATTATCACAGATATCTTTTTAATTTATTCTCTCCTTCAATAAGAGGCTTCTCGGGAATCATAGCAAGCTTGAGGGCAGTTTGGTCTTTTTCTTTTCAAAATTGTTCTAAAAACTGGTTTTGATTGTTTTCAACTTCAAAAAAGTGTATGGAAGGGTATTTACTATTCTTCTGCTTTCAGTTTCTTATACATGTTCATTTTAGAAATATAACATTTAAATCAAGTTATTACACTTTAAAAAACAGTTCATTTCAAGAATTCAGAGAAAAATACATGAATACAGTAAAATACCGTCTCCATTTTTCTACTATTTTCTATTCTTAAAACTATGAGAACTGAAATTCAAGCAATTTAATGGGAAAAAATAAACCAACTACAGTGGAAGGCGATAGGGACAGACTCAGAGAGAAATGTTTGAATTTTCAACATATAAATGAAGTTCCCATTAATATCAACATTAAGTCAATATTTCTATTCCATATTTATTGAATATTATTGTTGATATATTTAAGTTTCATCCTTTAGTTGTGCATTGTATGCAATATTTAAAAACAAAATAGTACGCGTTTTGATTCATAATTTAGAAGCCTTGTAATAGAACAGGCTCTTCTATTGTTGTTTGCCCCTTAGATTCACACGTAGAGATCTATACAGCAACTGGTGGATCAGTAAGTTATAAAAATATCAGCATGCTGGAACTTCACTATGAGTCAATAAATAAATTTGATAAACAGTTGGTAGAATTACTAAAATTTCCTATAAGAAATTTTATCTATATTAATCACCATGGATGAAACAGCAGGCTAAGATACATCCATCATAAGCAATCATTTACCTCAATTTTGTCCATGGAACGATTTATGTCTTGCTCATCATACAGCATATCTTCAACAGAAACCTTGCTCACTTTTACAAAGTCTGACAGCAACAACTTGTAGATTGCTTTTGTAGCATATGTCATAAAAACTCGCCCTTTGAATGTAGTCTATCATATTAATGCTAAATTAGTTTCTGAATTCAACGAAAAACACATTGCAATTCTTATTAGCAAGCGAAGTACCTTCTCCAAAAAATAAGGAAGTGATGCAGCATGATCCAAATGAAAGCTGCAAAACAAGTTTGCATAAACTTATCTTAATTAGAGGAAAACAAAAACTGAGGCAGAAAATAAATGAGGCTGAAACAACTAGAACCTCATGTCGAGGGCAGATAAAGCAATGCAGTCAAAAACAACCTTTCTCCTTGTGTATATTTGCATTTACCATGCTCACAAAGCCATTGATTTTAATAAGAAAACATGGGTTTTAACAAAATGCAAACGTTGTGTCCAGAAAGAATGTGATCATGAAGGAACAGATTTTCTCTTCAGGAGCAAAGATTTATAACAGTGATGAGTGACCTTATACCCATTCTCAAGAGCATCAGCAAATAACCAGAGAACAGTTGAGTTTAAAGTGCATTGTAAGAATATTTAAAAAGGAAAGATAGAACGAAGGGAATACATACTGGGTAATGAGCAGGACATCAATCGTTGACGGGTCAATCTCATCAAAGTATGGCAAAGCAGCCATTCCAGAGTAAGCCGGGTGAATTCCACAATCGAACTACCATCCAACAATAGTGAGGGGGGAAAAAGAAGTAGTACGTTTACAATAATACAATAGTAGTTCTGTATGCTATGCTCAGATATCGAATGGGAAATTATGATGAGTTCAAAGCGTACCAATACAATTTTGCCTTTGTAAGACATATATACGCAGGACCGACCCACTTCATTGCCAGCCCCAAGAGGAGTTATAATAAGCTGATCCTCCTCTCTCGTCGCGGATGACTCCCGTTTTTTAAGGGAGGGCGGCTGTACAACTGAAGCCATTTTTCCTCAGCCAGGAAATGGTCACACAAGATCTCTTTTCAACTGCAATATATCAAGAACGAAAAGGAAGTTTGAATTACGTATGAACGAAAACAACATGACCTAGCTGTGGCTGGAGATGGAGGATATGGCATTCCCTATTCATGCTTCAATCTGATAATTCTAAAAAAGATACTGGCACAAAGTAATTCATAAAGTTCTGATTCTGGGCAACCAAACAGGGAAGGGGAAGTCTGCATCACAATCAATAACAGATCTGAAAAAAACTCGAAAAGCTAAGAAGGGGCGCGAGAGAGAGTAGAGAGACAGTAGTTAAGAATGGGAAAACGAAAATTCAGAAAGAGAACTTACAGTGTGGAAGAATGATGGAAGAAGCAGAGCTAAACCCTAGTATTCAAAAACTGTCTTTCGTGGGTTTTAGCAACAGTCCTGCAGCAGCCAGCCATCAGAGAGGGCGGGAGAAGGGAGAGATGAAATTTAGGGAAACATTCTCGTCACTCGTGTCGTGACTCGTAACGCGACAAGTTATAGACAAACGACGTGTCGTTTCGTTAGGACGTGCCACAAAGAAACATAAGCATTAAGGCAGGCAAAAGGAAAAGAATAATAAAGAAAAATAAAATTTCGACCACAGTGGGAGTCGAACCCACGACCTTCTGATCCGAAGTCAGACGCGCTAATCCACTGCGCTATGCGGTCAATTGTTGACAAGGAAAGTTGTTTTTTAATGTTGGAATTTTGATAATTCGACAAGTCAATTACTTAAAACAAAATATAAGCAATACTCCTTTGTTTTTTCTAATTTCATCTTTAATCTGTTAAAAATTATCAAATTTACAAATACGTTGAAAACAAATTTTAAGACGATAACTTTAAAAGTTTTTGAGTAATAACAATAATTAAAACAATTGGAGAAATAAATAAAGCCTTCGAACTAGATAGCCATTTTTCTAATGCAGTATTTATTTTTACCTACTTTTTAAAACTCATGTTTTCTAATTATTTTTTTCATTTGAGTTATACGTAGGTGGACATCGTGATATTTAAATCTATTCCCTTACCTTAACCTGTTTGAACCAATAAACAACCCATTTTCTCTATTTATTGATGCACGAGATTGAGGGAGAAATATCAAATAAAAATTTTGAGTGTATAATAAAATCTAAACAAACAATGCCATCCTCCAAATTTCGGTAAATTATCGTCAAATCAAATAGAGAAAAGGGGAAATAATTCAAATTACCCTAAGCTCTGCAAATCACAGTCAAATTAAATTAGGAGCAAATCATATAAAAATAAATAAATAAAACAAATTGAATATATCTGTAAATATTTGATCACGACGATTAGTTTTATAAACTTTTTCCATCCACGACATCTTACTTGTTTATATTTGTCAAAGTGAGTATAATTAAGCGGTAATTGACATATATCTTCAATCAAAATGTTATGAGTTCGATCCCCACCCTCTACATGTTAGTACTGAATATATTATTGTTTATATTTCATGTTTTTTTTCTGTCACAGTTCAAATTAATTAAAATTTTCCAAAATAAATGTCAAATCAATTAGACAGATTTAAAACGACGCCGTTATGAAGCGGTTCGCTTCACCTTTGAAGAACCGCCATCAACAGGGATCCAGTGTCGCCATTTTCAATTTCACCCAAAACCCTTTCGGGATAACTCTCCCGTAAACCCTAACACAACCACGTCTCTTGCTTCTTCTCCATTCCGATTACAGTCTTGCAACGATTATGGCATTGTATTCACTTCGTCTCCGCCGCACCTTGTCCGCCATTTCCGTTCTCCACCGCCATGTTTCTGCTACGTCGGCAGTATCTGCTCAAACTTTCTACTCAATTTCTTGTCCTTCAGCTCCTTCACTATCTAAGTCTCCAGCTATGATTTCTCTTTATTGTCCACTGAGATCGTCGTCCATGGCTTTCTCTTCTCGATCATCGTTTGGGAGCAATAACGAAGATGACAAGATAGGGCCCGATACAATACTATTCGAGGGCTGCGACTACAACCACTGGCTCATCACCATGGAATTCCCCAAGGATCCCAAACCCACTCCGGAGGAAATGGTTCGGACCTACGAAGAAACCTGTGCCAAAGGCTTAAATATAAGGTTATCTTTATTTTAAACCTGTGCAAAACGCTAAGTTTTATAATTTTCATGCTGCATCTGTTGCCTCAATACTATCTACACGAGAGTCGAAACTTGGTTAATATTTTGTCTCTTCAACGTTTCATGATAGTTTTTGTTTTAACTATTTGAATGTTGACTATTCCGACTTGCATTTTTTTTATTACTTCGTTATTCTGATTGATAAAGCGAAGACATCTAGGTGTGGCTATGCACACTTATAGTTTTTTGTTTTTTTGAATTCTTCATCCACCGCATGTTGCTAGGAGATCCCAATATTATTTGGGATGACTAATTTTGTTCCTTTACAGTTTTCAGTCACCAGGCTATGCTGCAGATATGAAATGACTCCAAATTCTTATTTATTGAATTTAACGTGTAAACCTGAGTATATCATCATTCAATTGCTTCTATTCTGGTCTCCTAAGTAACGCCACCATTTTTTTTATTATTATTACATTTTGTTTTTTTTTTTTTGTTTCTGTAACATGCTTCATTCATCATCCTGAACCAGATACCACTTTAATGGGATTGTATTTTTTCCCCTTGTCATGTTCTTGGGTGATCAAATACTCTCTGAAAGTCACAAGAACTTGATATATTATTCCAAATATGAGAGGTGGAGGTTGCGCCTCTCTTTCTATGCTCCTTGTTTTTGCTGGAGTATGTGGGCTTAGTTGATGGAATGGTGATGGTGTTATTATGTTCCCACTGGCCACTGCGGGTTGGACTAGTTGTGACAAGGTTAAGCTATTGAAATCCATATATTTGTATGGTTATGAGATCAATTTTAATGTCACCTCAGGATATTTATCCTCTGGTTTTATTAACTTTTAGATATTATATGGTTATGCAACAGTCCTGTAATAAGAATATGAGTTATCATGTAGGTAAATTGGCTTTTAACACCCATAGTTATCTTAAATGGTGATTTTGCTGTCTAACTAATCATGGCATGCTTCGAGAGAATATTGCTTTTGTTGCTATAGTATGATCACTACATAGTTATGTTTACCATGTTCACTACATTTTCACATTTTTGGTCGCATCTAAATTGATTGAAGTTACTGAGCTATCGTATTTTGAGGTGGTTAATTTGGAAAATTTTGTGCCTTTGTTTAACCTTTTTTCCCCTCCCAAAACACGAACAGTGTGGAAGAGGCAAAAAAGAAAATGTATGCTTGTAGTACAACTACGTATCAGGGGTTTCAGGCTGTGATGACAGAAGAAGAATCAGAAAAATTTCGCGGTAATTGTTAATGACATTTAATTCCGCCATTTAGATACCATGCTCAATTCTGATTTTCCATATTTCTTTTTCTAGGTCTGCCTGGTGTCGTCTTTATATTACCTGATTCTTACATTGACCCTGTAAACAAGGAGTATGGAGGTACGGAAATTTCCAAATTGAAAAAGAGTAAAGCCAGCTTTAATAGTTATCAAGCAAGTGATATATCCTCCCGACTAAATTTTTCTTAGATACTAAATGCACCATTTCTTTCTTTGCACTCTGCAACATTTATTTTCTAATAATCAGGAGACAAATATATTAATGGAACAATTATACCAAGACCACCACCTGTTCAATATGGGAGGCAGGGGGGAAGGTATCGTGATCGGAACAGAAATGCTGACCAACCAAGATACGATAGGGGAAACAGATCAGCACCAAATTGGCAGGGTAATCCATCCTACAGTCAACAGGGTTCTATGCAAGGAGATGGACGCAATTTTGGCCCTTCACAGAACTATTCGCCTCAAGGTCCACCCCAACATTATGGTCCACCAGGGCCTGGAGAAAGGAGAGATCCTTCACATGCGAACAGTTATGCCCCTGAAGGAAGAGACCCCTATCAGGGAGGAAGAGTTCCTACGCCTTCTTATCAGGGAAACTACAACAACCAAAGGGGGCAGGGCAGTTATAACCATGATGTGCAAGGAAATTATCATCATCCCCAAGGAGGTCAGAGAGATTATGTACCTCCACCAGGACAGGGTAATTCTGGTAGTGGTTTTAATTCTGCACAGGGTGGAGCTTATGGGCAAGGTGGATATCATGGCCACGGAACGGGAGCGTCTTATGGTCAAGGACAGAGTCATGGATCGTACCCAGGCTCTACTGAAGGTCAAAGATTTTCACAAGGGGATGAAAGAAACATGCAAGGAGAACAACGAAACCACACATCTGTTGGACAAACATGGAACGGACAAGTAAGGCATTTTCTACAGTAAATAGTTTGATTCTTTAATTTTTAGACTGTAATATTAGAATTGATAGTTGTGTTTCTCAGATGGTGCATGAATGCGGTTTATTCTCTTTGTGTAACAGCTTGGCTTCGGATAGATACTTTTAAATTCAAACGTTCTTGCGTACATAAAATATGTGGTTTAGAGTTATATTTTAACAAGAAGACGTTTGATTTGTGCAGGGGAGATACTGAGGCGGTCGAATATTTATTGTCAAGGGATCTTAAGGAAGCTATGAGCCATTTGTCTCATGTCTCTTGTAGGAAAACAATAAGGGAAAGCCATGCGAGTTTGTTCTTGTGAGGATTATGCACTTCCTGTGTTGGGTCATTTTGTTTGGCATGGAATGGGAACCTGAACTAAATGTGAATTTGAGATATAACCCAGGCGAGTAGCTTGCTTGTTCTCCCTCAAGGATGTCGTCCAGCAGAAAAAATTTCTTGTGATGCCATGGCAATGATCAAAATTACTTTGTTTAAGTTTAATTAATTGATTACCCTTGCTTTTTACAATGCTAAAACTGATTAATTTCATAATTGTTTAACTAATTTATATCGATTCTGATTTTGAACAATCATGGCCTGAATCTGGAAGTAAAGTAGTGAACTAACAAAAATATGGATGTAAATTTAGTAGTTATAATAATCATTGTGCAATTGATTATTTGCTATTTATGCCAAGTTAATTTGTTTTAGGTAATTTCCAATTTGATTCTTAGTTTTATAAAATTCTCAATTTTGCGGAAACTTCTCTAGTTTTCATTGGGGGTTAAAGTCTGTTTGCAAAAAGTTTGTCTTTACCTTCCAAATCCCAATCTCACCTAATTGGTCTCAATTTTCCAACAATTTTTTTTTATTTTAATTTTAGCACACCAATTTCTCTCTCTTCCTCAACCTTCGAAAATCCTGTGTGCGCTCTACCCAAACAAACCCATTTTCCTTGAGCATGAATTCACGAATCCTCCACCTAACTGCTTATCACAACCCATCCCCCATCTCATCTAAAACCCTAGAATACTCACAACATCAAAATAAACACTTCATTAACAAAACCCACAAATTCAACTTATTAGGGATTCTATATCTTACAGAAACTTATCAGAAGTCCAGTTCCTATATCTCAAATCCGTTTCAAAATTCCCTCCCTTCTTCTCTGCTCATCTCCTTTGCTTTCTTCCTCTTCCCCTCTGTTTCGGATTCGAAGCAGAAATTTCTCCCCCGCTTTTTTTTTTTATCCATTTTAACCACATGCCACCTACACACTTACCTCCATACACGTGTCCTTCAATTATCCTTTCCCCAATTTTTTTTTTTTTACTTTAAAACAAAAGGACAATTATGCCCTTCATTCAATTTCTTTTATACTGCCTGTACAATGGACGGGCCTGGCCCAAATGCAAGAACAATATCAATGGGTCGAAATGAGAAGGAAGAAAAAACCCTAGGGTTTACTACATAAGCGAATTCTCTCTCTTCTGGTCCGCCGTCGCAGCCGCTCTTTCTTCCAGATTCAACAATGGTGAGAGCTCCTCACTTTCTTTCTCATGCTTGTTTCAATTATCTGCTTCAATTTTATCTTGAACACGTCTAGATCTTCTGCAGCTAATAATTGAGCTAGATTTACCTTGACTTACCCGAATCTAAAGCTCCATCTTTGGTCACTCGTCTCCTTATTTGTAGATTTAGCATTCCGCTTCACGAATTTTAATTTGTTAACTTGCTGTGAATTTTATTGGTTTTCGAGTGTCATTGCCTCGTGAAATTTGAATTAGAAGTCATATAACTTCTATTGTGTTGCAATATTTACTATGTTGGGTTGCTTAAACGATGAGCTATTTATTGTAGGCTTTTGCCAAAGCTCAGAAAACAAAAGCTTACTTCAAACGTTATCAAGTCAAGTTTAAGAGAAGAAGAGGTGATTTTTCCCTGTATAATAATATTCCGGTGTTTTTGTTTCTGTTGAACTTTTCTGATGTATCTGAACATCCAGAGGGGAAGACTGATTATCGGGCCAGAATTCGTCTGATCAACCAGGATAAGAACAAGTACAATACTCCCAAGTATCGATTTGTTGTCCGCTTTGTATCCTTAAAGTCCTCAAATCTGATTATTTTATAACTCTTTTTTTTTTTAAAGAAATTTACTATTCTTTTGTTTTTTTAAAAGGATGGATCATCGTTGCTTTATAATTGCTCAAGTGCAAGCTCATATATTGTGTTTTTTTTCCGCATATTTCTTCAAATTCTACCTATGTCTTTTATGCATTATGTCCTTAACATAATTTAATAGTCCAACAAAGATATTACAGCACAAATTATTTCAGCTAGCATTGCTGGTGACATAGTCCTCGCTTCAGCTTATTCTCATGAGCTTCCCAAGTATGGGCTTGAAGTTGGTCTAACTAACTATGCTGCAGGTGCATTTTTAGTCCCTTTTTCTTCCATGTCTACTTTTCATTTAACGTTTCTGTCTGTATAAAGTTTGAACAATTGGAATCTGCTCAGCATATTGTACTGGACTTCTCTTGGCTCGACGTGTCTTGAAAATGCTCGAGATGGACGAAGAATACGAGGGCAACGTGGAGGTATCTTGAACATTGATGTTTTCCTTTTGCCATACTTCCTATCTTATATTTTAATCTTGATGAACTATTATTTTGGATTCTTAGGCTACTGGTGAAGATTTCTCAGTTGAGCCAGCAGACAGCAGGAGGCCGTTCCGTGCTCTTCTTGATGTTGGTCTTGTTAAAACTACAACTGGAAATCGTGTTTTTGGTGCTCTTAAGGTACTCTGTTAGAGACTGCATATGCAATTTCCAGTTCATCAATAAGTTGTTTGTATTGTCATTTTATGATAAAGCGTATAATACTTTGTTAATATTTTCCGAAAATGTTCATTTGAGATGTGTTTCTGAGTGACTTGCACTGGCAAGCATTTTTAGCATGATCTTGTTTTTCACTGTTAAATATTTAGTTTAGGTTATTTTTCTCAATGTTTGCATCTGGTCATATTACCTAGGAACTAATTTACTTTTTATTAAGTACTTACTATGCGTTCCTAATTTGCACAATTTCATTGGCCTATAAGTCCTCATTTGATTTTAATTGTGGTATACCTGGGTGAAATTGTTTTAATTTATATGGGGTCTCTGCTGCAGTATTTGTACATTTAAACAAAGTAAATTACTGTTCACTGTGATGCAATTCATTAGTTTCATTCAACAGTGAATTTGTGTTAATTCTTATAGTGTAGTTTTTTATGCTTATTTTGACTTGGGAGTGTGCGGGGGTTGTAAAGGATGTAATGAACCTCAATTTGTACAATGCAGGGGGCTTTGGATGGTGGATTGGACATTCCTCACAGTGAAAAGAGGTTTGCTGGTTTTTCCAAGGATGGTAAGCAGCTCGATGCTGAAGTTCATCGAAAGTATATTTTTGGTGGTCATGTTGCTGCCTACATGCGGGTATGTTTAGTGCGTTAGTTTATTTCACAATAGGTTGGTTATTTCGTCCGTAAATATTTTTTATTTTTTATCAAAAAAGTTAGATGTTCTGTTGAAATGGTTTTTTCAGACCTTGATGGAAGATGAACCAGAGAAATATCAATCTCACTTTAGCGAATATATCAAGAAAGGTATTGATGCTGATAACATTGAGGGATTGTACAAGAAAGTCCATGCAGCCATTCGGAAAGACCCAGTAGCGAAGAAATCTAACAAGCAACCACCCAAGGAACACAAGAGGTAGAGAAACGAAGCTTTGGTGTTTGGCACTTTGTTAATCGTTCATAAGATGACTGTTTTCTTGTCTGTGTTGTTTCACACTTCACAGTTGCATTTAGTAAAACATAACATTTTTGTTTTGGTGTTGGTGAATTACAGGTACAACTTGAAGAAGCTGACATATGAAGAAAGAAAAGCTCGCTTGGTTGAGCGATTGAATGCTCTTAACTCTGCAGTTGATGCTGATGATGACGACGAGGAGGACGATGAGTGAAAAGATTAAGATTATGAAACATAAGTTGGTATCCGCATCCCAGGATTTTAATGCAGTTTTGCTATTTATTATTTTATGTTTCCTTTTTCGTTGTAGAACATTTTACATCTTCAAAGTGTTCTGTTACCTAGATGATAATACTTTTGTTCGTCCTGAGAGTCCCTTCTGATGCAAAATCAAGTGTTGCTTTACTGCAATCTTATTTTATCTGATTTAGGTATTTAGTTCATTCATTCTCGTGTGTAATTTTCAATATATTATGTCATGGAAATTAAATCATGCCTCGGTTATTGATCTTTTTGACGACCGGAACCTACAGTGCTCATATATTACACAATTTAGTCAATTGGTGAAATCTTTTGCTCCTTTGCTTTGAAAATTTTATATTTCCTTGTTATTTCGGAGGTAAGTTTTATCACAGATTATAAAATTTATATTATTAAGGAAAACGTATGTTTCTTCGAACCCAAATTCTTGTGAAATGTAAACATTCATAAAAAAAAACAGGTTAAAAAAAATTTAGATGAAAGGAACAAGTATATATAGATGATGAAAATACAAAATTCCTGTGTGATATGCTAGGAATGGATCAGCATCATCAAGCATCACATATTAGATCCAACGAACAAAATATAAGAAAACAAAAGATGCAATTGGCAAATCAGAAAAACAAGTTAACATCTTCATACCCAGAATCTCATAATTGAACTTTGCCGACTAAAACTAGAACATGTAGATGACAGAAACAAGTTAATATCTTCATACCCAGATTCTCATAATTGAACTGTGCAACTAAAACTAAAACATATAGATGACAGAAACGCCTCAAAAGCTGCAAAATCGCCCTAGGAGAATATCAAAAAAAAAAAAAAATCTATGGATCTTCTCACTTAAACTAAATGGTTTGTAATGATAGAATTGGTTGAAATACATGCTCGTCGTGTTGAATCACTCATCATCGTCATCTTCATCAGCTCCAGCAGCAGAATTCAACGCATTCAAACGCTCAACCAACTTGGCCTTCCTTTCTTCATACGTGAGCTTCTTCAAGTTAAACCTATCAGACAACAGTAACTCCTTAAAATTCATTAAATAATGCCACACAGTAAACAGCTCGTATCAAAGTTGAAAACTAAAACGCAAGTTTAATCACGATTAACGAATAGAGTTTGCCTTTTACCTCTTGTGCTCCTTTGGTGGTTGCTTCTCAGTTTTCTTCGCCAACGGTTCTGAACGAATAGCAGCGTGAACTTTCTTCAACACCTCTTCGATGCTGTCGGGATCAATTCCCTTTTTGATGTATCCGCTGAAGTGAGATTGATACTTATCTGGCTCATCCTCCATCAAGGACTGTGGATTAAAACTCATGGTGAACATGATTTTTCATGACTACTCTGATTTCTAAGTCAACTATGCACTTATATTAGCTTCTGAAAGTTTACCCTCATGTAATCAGCGACGTGCCTGCCAAATATGTATTTGCGGTGAACCTCAGCATCGAGCTCCTTGCTGTCCTTTGAAAAACCAGCAAACCTCTTGACACTGTGTGGAACATCCAATCCACCATCCAAAGCTCCCTGTGTCATGAAAGTACATATAGATTCAGTCTCTAAAAATACAATGGTTTGAGAAAGATACCAAGAGCTCAAACTGTCCTACTGGTCAATTTGTAATTATTAAAAAATCCAGTGAACTTACAAACTTCTCACCATAATTGTAATAAGCCACTAAGTTATAACGAACTTTGAAGATCGGACGTGGAACAGATGTCAGAAAGAACAAAATATATAAATATGGGTACACGCACATATGCATGATGCATATGTCATATAAAATATAGTTGGTTAAAGGTGAATTATTACTCATTTTGTATCCAATCACAGTTTTGAAAATAAATAAAGCTACTCATGTGAAATTCATCAAACCATGTAAAGCTAGAAGCACAAATACTAAAATATTATAAACAAGAAAAAGAGCCGGATATTGTAGTTCATCTAACATGGACTAACTAAATACCTTGAGTGCACCAAAAACACGGTTTCCCGTTGTTGTTCGGACTAGACCAACATCAAGGAGAGCTCTGAAGGGCCTTCGGCTGTCTGTGGGTTCCACAGAGAAATCCTCTCCGGTGACCTAATGATACATGATACAAATGCTTTCAGTGGACACAAGTAATGACGGAAGAGTTGAGCCATAACAGAAGAGGTATATTACTTCATTTTGTTTAATTTATTTGGTTTTGCTTTTAGATAAGGTCAATAGAGGGTAGGTAGAGTACCTCGAGATTACCCTCGTACTCTTTGTCCATCTCAAGCTTCTTCAAGACACGACGAGCCAAGAGAAGTCCAGTACAGTAAGCTAAACAGTATTCAGATAAGAAGTTAATAAAAGATCAAAAAGGACCGTCCCGAATAGACTCACACTGGAAAAGTTACCTGCCGCATAATTTGTTAGACCAACTTCAAGACCATAATTAGGTAACTCATGAGAATAAGCTGCGGCAAGAACCATATCACCAGCAATGCTAGAAGATACTATTTGCGCTGTAATATCCTTATTAGTCTACAAATAATCGTTAAGGTCTCCTTTGCCGAACATATATATCTCACCGTTCAAAACAAAAAATGCTCATAAAAAAGTAAAGATACATATTAACAGAACATCAAAAGCATCCAAAGGAAACCAAAGAAAATCAAGGACTTGAAGTAATCTTAATAAATCATAAAAAGAGGATTTATCCTATTGGGATAAATTTAGGGATAAAACAACCGCATAATGTTACAAGGCTGCCTACAATAGCTTCCAACACTAATCGATGGACCGATCTATATATCCTAATGCTACAATGCATCTGGAGGTCGGGACGGGACTCACGAGTGTGCATCAAAATAAGAATTCCTATTATTGAAGGAAAGCATAAAGATTCCTCATGTTAAAAAATAAGTGGGGAAAAAAGAGCGAGGAAGATCCAATTCACTCATGCAAGTTCTGTAAAAAAACCGCTGCAAAAGAAAACAACAAATCAATGGCACTAATTAGCCAACTGTTATGGGGATACAAATCTAACAACAAAGCGGTATTTGGGAGTGTTGTACTTGTTCTTGTCTTGATTAATGAGACGAATCCTAGCCCGATAGTCTGTCTTGCCATCTGTATATCATCAAGCACTATCAGAAACCGACCATTAACTTTTCAAGTATAAAAAAAAAATTTAAATACCTCTTCTTCTCTTGTACTTGACCTGATAGCGTTTGAAGTATGCTTTCGTCTTTTGAGCTTTCGCAAAAGCCTGCAAATAAATCATTCAAATTTGTCTGATTACTCGGAGGCAATACTTACACTAACATTAATATCAAAGCTAACTGAAACAATGCAGTTACTTGCTTCGATCATTCCCAAACAAGACTGACGACTTCAGGCATGCTAGGAACAATTCACATATAACAATCGCCAGAAAGAAACGAAAGATTCATGCGAGTTAGACTAGGAGCAAAAATCTCACCATGTCGGAAGCGAAGGCCTGAAGTACACCGAGCGAATGAGAGAGATGAGGAGATGACCTTGATACTTGTATAAACCCTAAGGCGACGTCATTGGGCCACAGAGGCACCTTTTATTATTGGGCTTAAAGCCCAATTTCCTATCTGTCCGATTCAACCGAAGGTCCACGCTTGCCACGAGAAAATTGGGTTAAATTTCAGTTATGTCCCTGCAATGCCATTTCCATGTAAGATTCTCGAGTATATTGTATTTCGGTATTTGAACTTTTATAATTTTTATTTTAGCGGAACTAAACTTTTTTAGGTTAAATTGATCGAATTTTCCCCCTCTCGGCAAGTACCGGTACTCGGGCTTTTCGAAAAAATATATATATCGTTCTATTTTTTTTTAATATTTAATAATATGTTTGTTTTTATTTTATTATTTATTATTTTAATTTAATAAAATACAATTTTCATCCTTAAACTCAATATTTGGAAATTTTACACTCAAGTATTCAACCTTGAAAACCTTTATGCTAAAATTATTAAACATATATCTTCGACTATAAAGTGGGAGCTTTAAAATTTTACTTATATTATTGGACTAACCATTAACCTAATGAAATCTAAAAATAAATTGTAAGGATTTCAATTACAACCACTAAGTAAATTGTGATTCTAATGATATAAGTGTGAAACATTTATCAAAATACTATAAAATAAAATTAAATGGTCATAAGTTTGTAAGCAATGGTCAATTTGGTGATCAGTAGTTTAAAGTTATTGAATTTATCCTCGATATATCAAATATTATTGATTATGTCATTTATAACAAATTTTTGTTAACACATGAACTATAACTCGTTTCCTTAACAAAACTTGACCCACTCAACAACATAAATAATTTAGTCTATATATCATATTCAAATGGTACCCTCACATATCCAATCTATATCTACACTACATTAAAATGAAAGGATTTCTAAAAATCCTTTTTTAACCCATACTACCTAGTAAATTACATAAATATCATTTTTATAAATAATTGACAATTGAATCCGCACTTAAATTTATTAATTAATTATGAAATAACAGCATGCATTACCCTAAAAAAAAAAGTTTTAACATGCAACTTTAATTATTAATAATACATTTTTTTCTAATATGTCATGCATTATTTTTATTATCAAATTATTCACTAGACTGTAAAATATATATATATATATATAGATATATATTCACTAGAAATAGTTTTTTAGCACCTCAACAATTGTGAAAATTTGAGCCTCTATGTTACAGAAAATTACTTTACTTATACCAATAGTTGTATGTTGAATTTCAAGAAAAAAATATTTGTTAAATTAGATTAATAAATACATTATTATTTTTTATTTATATTGCATCAATTTAAAATTTATGTCTTCACAAAATAAATTGTATTAAAAGTAATTAAAATAAATACACGTGCATGGCACATTTAGGGATTATGCTAGGGTTTTAACAACATATATCAAAAGTAGCGTTTTAGCAACCTCCCTCTCCCTCTCCCTCTCCCCTCCTCCCTATCAATCTCAGCGATGGTGAGAGTTCTGCACTTTCCAATCTTACGCTTTCAGTTTCAATTATATGCTTTAATTCGATCGTCCCTCGCATTTGTCATTCTAGTAACCCATTGTGTGGTGGAATCTGTATTTTTTCGTTTCGGAGATGTATCGATTTCATGCTAGGCATGGTCAGGGATTATGTATCATTAATTATGATAATTTTTGAAGCTACTTGTCTAATGGTTTCTTAAATACCCCCACCTGCACCACCCGAATCTAAAGCTCCATCTTTGGTCACTCGTCTCCTTATTTGTAGTTTTAGCATTCCGCTTCACGAATTTCAATTTGTTAACTTGCTGTGAATTTTATTGGTTTTCGAGTGTCATTGCCTCGTGAAATTTGAATTCGAAGTCATATAATATCTATGGTGTTGCAATATTTACAATGTCGGGGTGCTTATACGATGAGCTATTTATTATAGGCTTTTGCCAAAGCTCAGAAAACAAAAGCTTACTTCAAACGTTATCAAGTCAAGTTTAAGAGAAGAAGAGGTGATTTTTTCCCTGTATTGTAATATTCCGGTGTTTTTGTTTCTGTTGAGCTTTTCTTATTGATGTATCTGAACATCCAGAGGGAAAGACTGATTATCGGGCCAGGATTCGTCTTATCAACCAGGATAAGAACAAGTACAATACTCCCAAGTATCGATTTGTTGTCCGCTTTGTATCCTTAAGTCTTCAAATCTGATTATTTTATAGTTCTTTCTTTTTCTTTTTTAGAAATTTACTATTCTTTTGGTTTTTAAAAGCATGGATCATCGTTGCTTTGCAATTGCTCAAGTGCAAGATCATATATTGTGTTTTTTCCCGCATATTTCTTCAAACTCTACCAGTGTTTTTTATGCATTTTGGGATGCATGTCCTTAACATAATTTAACAGTCCAACAAAGATATTACAGCACAAATTATTTCAGCTAGCATTGCTGGTGACATAGTCCTTGCTTCAGCTTATTCTCACGAGCTTCCCAAATATGGGCTTGAAGTTGGTCTAACTAACTATGCTGCAGGTGCATTTTAATCGCCTTTTCTTCCATGTCTGCTTTTGATTTAACATTTCTGTCAGCCTGTATGAAGTTTGAACAATTGTATCTAATTTGCTCAGCATATTGTACTGGACTTCTCTTGGCTCGACGTGTCTTGAAAATGCTCGAGATGGACGAAGAATACGAAGGCAACATGGAGGTATCTTGAACATCGATGTTTTCCTTTTGCCGTACTTCCTATCATATATTTTAATCTTGATGAACTATTATTTTGGATTCTTAGGCTACTGGTGAAGATTTCTCAGTTGAGCCAGCAGATAGCAGGAGGCCGTTCCGTGCTCTTCTTGATGTTGGTCTTGTTAAAACTACAACTGGAAATCGTGTTTTTGGTGCTCTTAAGGTACTATGTTAGAGACTGCATATGCAATTTCCAGTTCATCAATAAGTTTTTTTGTATTGTCATTTTATGATAAAGCCTATAATATTTTGTTAATATTTTTTGAAAATGTTAATTTGAGCTGTATTTCTGAGTGACTTGCACCAGTGAGCATTTTTAACATGATATTGTTTTCACTGTTACATATTTAGTTTAGGTTATTTTTCTCAATGTTTGCATCTGGTCATATTACCTAGGAATCAATTTATTTTTTAATAAGTACTTCCTACGCCTTCCTAATTTCATTGGCCTATAAGTCCTCATTTGATTTTAATTGTGCTATACCTGGGTGAAATCGTTTTAATTTAAATGGGGGTCTCTGCTGCAGTATTTGTACATTTCAACGAAGTAAATTACTGTTCACTGTGATGCAATTCATTAGTGTTAATTCTTCTTGTGTAGTTTTTTATTATTATTTTGACTTGGAGTTATAAAGGATGTAATGAACCTAAATTTGTACAATGCAGGGAGCTTTGGATGGTGGATTGGACATTCCTCACAGTGAAAAGAGGTTTGCTGGTTTTTCCAAGGATGGTAAGCAGCTCGATGCTGAAGTTCATCGAAAGTATATTTTTGGTGGCCATGTTGCTGCCTACATGCGGGTATGTCTAGTGCGTTAGTTTATTTCACAATAGGTTGGTTATTTCGTCCGTAAATATTTTTTATTTTTTATCAAAAAAGTTGGATGTTCTGTTGAAATGGTTTTTTCAGACCTTGATGGAAGATGAACCAGAGAAATATCAATCTCACTTTAGCGAATATATCAAGAAAGGTATTGATGCTGATAACATTGAGGGATTGTACAAGAAAGTCCATGCAGCCATTCGTAAAGACCCAGTAGCGAAGAAATCTAACAAGCAACCACCCAAGGAACACAAGAGGTAGAGAAACGAAACTTTGGTGTTTGGCACTTTGTTAATCGTTCATAAGATGACTGTTTTCTTGTCTGTGTTGTTTCACACTTCACAGTTGCATTTAGTAAAACATAACATTTTGTTTTGGTGTTGGTGAATTACAGGTACAATTTGAAGAAGCTGACATATGAAGAAAGAAAAGCTCGCTTGGTTGAGCGATTGAATGCTCTTAACTCTGCAGCTGATGCTGATGATGATGATGAGGACGATGAGTGAAAAGATTAAGATTATGAAACATGAGTTGGTGTCTGCATCCGGATTTTAATGCAGTTCTTCTAAGTTTCCTTTTTCGTTCTAGAACTTTTTACATCTTCGAATTGTTCTGTTACGTAGATAATTATACTTTTGCTCGTCCACACTTGTTGTAATGTTAGAGATCCAGCAGTAATGCTAATCAATTTTTGACTAACTACAATCTTATTTTATATGTTTTGTTTAGTACATTCATGCCCTGAAGAGGAAAATCTCCGTAATAATGTGATGGAATTTAAATCGTGCCACTAGTTAGTTTGATCCCAATTACTCGAGGAACTTTTATCGAGGAGGGGAAATTCTCGTTTTCCTTGTGATTTTGGTAGGAAAGCTTTACCCCAGACTATAAAATGATTATTTTTTAGGTTAAAGGGTATGAAATTTTAATTTACAAGTTCATATTTCCATTTTCCACTGCGAAATGAGAAGATTTATTGAGGCCCACATGCAGCGTACCTTATCCACCACCGACCAATGGAGCTCAGTAGCCCTGCATTTCAGAAGCCCCACTCGATATCCTCTTTAGAAATGATTCGCACAAAAGCAAAAAAATATATGTGTTGTGAATTCTAATATCATAAATTCCCGCGTGGCTGTGAATGTGAGATCGAGAAACAATGGCACATTCACTATCTTCAGTATCGGCCACTGCCAGAGCCAGAGCCACCCTCTCATGCTCAAGATTCAGCAGCTCACGATGTTCATGTTCATGTTCATGTCTGAGGCCGCCGTCTCGCAGCGACGCATGCACTGAAGCCCCACAAGACAACCTTCTCGTCTCCCGCAGGTAAAACCATTTGTTCCCTTCATTAGCAACATATGCTCATTTTCAGCTCATAACAATCTAACCAATGCCACATGGTTCAAATTGCAGGAACGCTGTCTTGCTCTCGACAGGAGCAATGCTGGCCCTGAATGTAGCTGAACGGAGTTCAGAGGCGGCTGCCAGAAGGCCGCCGCCCCCTCCTCCGCAAGAGAAGAAGGACCCCAATCTGAGTGGAGTGCAGGCAAAAGTACTAGCTAGCAAAAAGAGGAAGGAAGCCCTGAAAGAAGCTGTCGCCAAGCTGAGAGAGAAAGGGAAGCCTGTTGTTAAACAGCCACCACCTGAGGCTAAGGCTGAGGCTGAATAGTTTCCTCAGAAAACCAATACCTTTTTGATGTTCTGCATCTCTTCATTCGGATATATGTTAGTCCACCTGAATAAGAGTGTGTATTCTATTAACTCCAAATAATTGTTTTTCATTTGTCAATCAATGTTAGTAATGTGGTTAAGATTATGATCTTACTTGAACAGCACTTCTGTTTCCTGAGTTCCAATGGTAGGCAATGTGATTAAGGTTGTTATAAATTTGGATCTTTTGGAGCTTCGATCGAACTAATTTCTATATAACATGAAAATCAGACCGGTGAAATGATGAAGGATTAACCTACTATGTAATAATGGTATTACGAATTGTCATTCTTTCTCGGCTATCACTACAAAAACGTCTCCAAGAGACCACTTCCGTCGCTCATTCTTAGCTGCAGGGTTGATAACAGCTCTTTCTGCATTAGCTGAACGGTAACCAATCACAATCTCTCTCCTTTGTCGGGCTCGTAAAAGTACTTCATAGAAACTCAGCTCCTCTCCTTCACGAAGGTACAAATCAGCTTGCCTTATATGCAATTCGTTGCCCTGATAATTAGAGATAAGCGGCAGGTTATGCCAAAGTAGATGCACCACCCAAAAAAGAAGAAAAAATTCAACTAAAACTACATGTTAGAACAGGTATATAATATATATAATGGAAAACACAAAGAACGTTCAGTGCAATTGAAGGAATGGGATGTTGAAAAAGGAGAGGTATTGAAGAGGTTTCCCAAGGCATGTCCCCATGTAATTATATTTTTTACCTTCTTGATGACATATATCTCAGTTTTCATAGAACATAAAATATACCTCTTCTGCAAATAGCTCCTCCAAAACATCATTTATCTGTCGATCCTCAGCAACCATGGCTAAGGCCATGCTGACAAGTTCATTTGACAAGACATAGTCACTGATTTTTGACATTGAAAGCAGATTCTTAGTTCTTGGGTCCAGAATTTCACTGATAATAACCGATTTATCAGAAGCCTGCTGCATTTCTCCAATCCAGGAGCCTTGCGAGAAACTTCCCCTGTGAGCTACAGTCTTAGCATCTCTGACTGGCAGACGCTTAGCCTGAAAAAAACACAAATCTGATAGGACAGATGACCAAATGGAATGATGAAAGTCTTATCTGCCACATCAAAAAATGCAATAAGCCTCTAAAAGTAAAAGATTTTATGCCGATGAAAGTATTTTTCCGATAAAGTGGAAAATTTATGTATTAGCAAGATCCAATATCCCATTATAGAGTATGGAGCTTCAGAAATGAGATTTCACATGTTAACTGCTGACTCCCTGTCCGACTCAACTTCTTCAAGGGCCAGATGTTATCCCTCCTTCCATTTCTCATATGGTGTGGAAAATCAAGAGCACAAAGAAAATGAGAGGCTTTTTCTTTCTTCAATATCCAAAGTAATTTGGATAGGGCATATCCTTATATCCTCAAAGCCTCCATGGTGCAGCCTTTGCAGGAATGATGCGAAGATTAAGACTCATCATTCCTCAGACTCTCCTTCAATAACTGGTGGTGGCTAGTCAAAGTGTTACTGAACGCAAGAAATCCCTCTTATTACTCTTTACGAAGCATCCCTTTCATGAGCAGAGCTAGGATTTGTGACAACACAACAAGAGCTGTATGTACAGATGGAACCCCCAACATCTTTTATTTATTTATTTATTTATTTTTATGTTTCTAACTAATATATTTGAATATCAAATTTTTCAAGAGAAGTACCTGAATGTCACGTATTAACAACAATGTTGCAAGAGATCTTGAATCAGCTTGAATAGCTGAGTCCTCTACAGATTCATCAGCAAGAATCAAGATCTGCCCAAATTGTAGTTATGTCACAAGAAGTTAAAAACAAAAAAACAGAATAATTTACTTCTAATTTACAAATTGCCTAGCAACGAAGAAGTTTTCTACCCACACTCGGCTTTCAAGACAAGAAATAAATCCTGCTACTCACCGAATCAAATGATTCCAAGGGAAGACTTTCCAAATGACGCCGAATTACAGCATTTCCCTCACGGTCAACCAAAGATATATTCTCCAATCGGCTGATGTCAAGACCGCCATCAACAAGCTTCTTTTCCCTCTCATTCTCAGGAACATCATTGAACATCCAAAGCTCTGAACCCGGTGCTAAAAATGCATCCAATACCTATAATGGTAGAAACCAATGAGGATAATAGAGCGCTCGCTCCAATAAATCAAGCAGCATGCATGGATTTGTAAAAGGAGGAAGGCCATACAACCATGGAAACTACTATCGTCAAAGCAGATGAAAATGGAAAATGTGAAAAATGTAACAGAAGGACTATGATCATGCTGTTAACACAAAAACCTGCATCCAAGAAGCACTGGGAGCATGTTCTCAGATCTTAATAACATTACCATAATCATATCTTCCATATCTCGCCGCCAACCACACAACAGGATTTTTTCAGTAGATTTTGGAACAATAAAGTCTTTGGGAAGACTTCCTCTCCAAACCTGCAGCATTCAACGCCAAAAAGAAAGAATTAGGGCTTTAATACAAAGTACTTACCACAATCATATCGTCAATGTCTCTCCTCCATCCACAAAGTAGAATCTTCTGTGGCTTTCTTGTTGGTCTTGCAATATGCATGAAAGATGCTTCTCTTACCTGAATGATCAAATTTATTGTAATATCGTAAGTTTTTAATTGTAGGGTGTTCCCTCACTTATATCCATTATAGGCATCGTCTCTCTCTCTCTCTCTCAAGATTGCCCTTTGTCAGCATTGTTTATTTGACAAATAAATCCAGAAAATTCCCTCAACATTCTAAGCTTAGCAGCGCCTCTTTATCAATATAATTCCTTCTTTTACATATTTATTCCTCAACCAAATTCCTACCTTATATGCATGGCTGTATTTTTTTTTTTTTTTTTTTGAGAACTTATATGCATGACTGTAAAATTCCTAAAAATATATCAAAATATAAAATACCACCATAGGAAAAGAAAAGGCAAGCAATAAAGTAACAGAACAAGAAGGCCCCAAGTATAATTAAAAAAATAAAAAAATAAGTTTTCACAGGGAGATGAAAGCACCGTAGGTAATGCAGCTGGTGCATAAGTATCATCGTCCTCCGCTATAACAAGGACTTCATCACCTTCTTGCAGCACATATGAGTCCTCAGGATTCAGTAAAATTTTTCCACCTCGTGATGCAACCTTGATTCCACAAGGAATTGCATCAGGAAAGCTGATCAATACCTCCTCAAATTGCATACCATCCAATTGTGGCCACTTTTTTATGTAGAACTCACAATTTTCAAAACCAAGGATGTCTTCCCAAATCTACAACCGCATGAAAGGAAGAACGTGAATCAATGCACAAGGTGTAGAAAAGAATAATTGTATGATGTGATAAAAGGCAGAAAATGCATTTAATATATGACAAGTCAACGAGAATAACACTGAGAAGCATGGAGACGATATTTGCATATCTATCTTAAAAAATAAAACAAGCTCGTTAACAAGATAAAAACCTGAGCAAGTCCCGGCTGGCGTGCACATTGAATCATTAAGCGACCAATCACATCATGAGCCACAACAGTTTCAACAAGCTCTCCACCAACGAGTTTTACAAGAACCTCATTATCAAGATCACTAAGTTCCACCACTATGTGTCCTTTCAACCCTTCTTTAACTCCAGTTAGACTTAAAACAGTTCTCAATGCACGGGCATCACTCTGCAAAGTACATATATCAATAAAGACCGGACGTGAAAACTCAATGATACCAGTATTTCCACTTACTTGATCAGCATTTCCATCCTCAGCAATGACAATTATTGCACGGGCCTTTGACACAGAGACCTGTACATATGAAGTTAGATGTAAGTAATTAATATTATTATTTTTTTTTATATATCCGTGAGTGTCCGAGCTAACTTACGCGCACCTCGACTAATCTCTCAGGGCAACCGCTTGACCCTACAACATTTGGTGCCGGACACATAGGAATTACTAATTCCTAAGGTAGATGACCATCATAGGATTTGAACCCATTTCCTCTTAATTAATCCTAGTCCCTTTGGACCAATGAGCCACCCATGATGGTTAGATGTAAGTAAAAGATTACACATTGAAAGTTCATAGCATCCATAAACCAGAAAATACATTTTAAATGGGTGATGAAGACATTGTATGCGTGAACAACAGAAAAGTTAGTTGCAATACTTGTTAAGAGAAGCCTACTCTTGCAGTACTTGCTATCACGATGAAAAGATGAATTTGGTTAAAAGCCTTGAGAGGCTCCTTAGTCCTTTAAGCTGTTATATTTTTAACCGTTCACAATGGATGCTCTCACCAAAATTTTAGACTCCAAACGAGGAATCAGTCACTGATAAAAAAATCAAAATCCACAAATTCAGGGCAGAGGTCAGTGTTCTGCCTCGGTATGGTTCATTTGATGACTCAAAACTGAGTTTTTTCAATTAAGTAATAAAGGTGACATTGATAAAAAAAATAATTATCAGAAGTCGAAGATGACAAAAAGCCATACTTGGAATTTAGTAGTTAATATCTTTTTTATCAGAGCTCAAGAATTCAAACTTGATGTTAATAAATGAAAATTATTAGTCTGATTGACCAAGAAAACGAGCAAACACTAGTTTGAGTTATTTATTTTCCAAAGAAGAAACTTCTTGATGGAGAGAAGAAAATATTAGCACCACAAACTTTTTGCACTACAAACTCCGAAGAAGTACCTTCTTCAAGTCTGCAAGAATTAACGGGCTTCCACTTCTGCATATAACAGACGTTCCCTTAAAATCAAACTCCATTTTAGCAATGTCAAGTTCCATTTCTTCTTTGTCTCGTTCAGCCATCACCACAACAGTGCCTCCTCCCAAGCTTTCATTGGCTATAGCAAGCTGATTCAGAAGTGACCCCTATATCCATGCAATGGCATTGCAGAACAAAAAAGAAGAAGAAAAAGTACATTTTAGCAATGTGCTACAACTACTTTAAGCACGCAGAATTTGCATCAAGTAATTATTATAAAAAAATAAATCATGCAATTTATTTCCATAATTTTTAGCAAATGAAATATCATCACAAAATGAACAGAAGTTAGATTCTTACCAGTTTATCACTCCATCCAAGGATCAAAGTGTGATTTTGTTCAACAACCTCACTTCTTCCTTTTCTAAGTGAGTCAAACTTTTCCGATATTGAATCAGATACCAGTCCAAGCATCATAGCAAATATTAGCATCCCACCAAAGCTAATGGAAACTGAAACTAGCCTCGGACCGATACCTTCAGAGTTGGCATGGTTTCCAGAATCAGCTACATACGTCCAAGATAACCAAAGGCAATCGACAAGGTTATCATCTGTCACTCCAAATAATGCGAAACCTCCAAGCGTAATCAGTAGTAAAGTCGCTATCAACAATGCCAGTGGCTTAGCATATGGGTGAATCGAGAAAAAGACATCCACCTTATACGCAAGCTGCTTGTTGAGTGAAACTTCTTCCAAATTGTTGTCCAATGATCTCGATTTAGAGACATGGTCAATATACTTCATAATAATGATAGGGGCCGACAACAGTGTCAGGGATACGATTAAGGCTAAAGTTTTTAATCTTTTATCTGTAACATCAACAAGATCGTCTGGTGAACGCACAACTTCTTCATTTCCAGAGTCAAACAAATCGCAGGCTCGTAATTTGATGTTAAGATTAGAAATCCGGGTCTGCAGGTGGAAAGCAATATACATTGAGGGAGTAAGTAGCACAGGCAGTGGAAAAAAGCTCGTCGAACTCATATAATAGAACGGTAAAAAGATATACGGACAATGACAGTCAACCATCCACCGGAATCGTAATTTGCAATCTCAGTACCTCTAATTCGTTGACTTGCTCCTGCAGAGATAAGTTTTCATGCACCAATGTTGCGAAAACCACGACAAAAATCTACACAAATATAAGCATATCAACTTCAAATCGTCAACAACTTAAGACTCTTGGAGAGAGAGGGAGAAAGAGAACGAACCGACGCTGCAATAGCCAAAAAATGCCATCGAACATTTAGAGTAGTGTCAAGCGACCTAAACAAACGCGAGGAATCAGACACTTTCTTTGCCGAGCTCGAGACGTCCGGCAGCTCCAACTTCCGTTTTGAAGCGAAATCCAATTCGGAAGGTTCAAACGAGACGTCGCTCCGGCGGTCAAGATTGAATCTCCGTCGAGTACGAGCAGACTTGACATCATTACTAGTCGTCGGGGAGTCAGAAATACAGGAGGAAATCTTCCTATACCTGTGATGATCGGTATAACGCTGCGATATTCGGGATGTTTCAGAAAATCTCCGGATGAACTTTTGAGGTTTGGCGGTGGCGGTGGCGGGGTAAGAGTGTATGAAGGATTGTGGAGGGAAGAACCAGTCTCTGCTCGAGGAAGGAGATGATTCAGAGTCAAGGGACATCGCGGGAATTACAAAAAATAATTAGGGTATTTTAGAAATAAAAAGAGATGGGCACGGTTTTAAATGCCATCGTGTGGTTTGGTTCTAGTTTAGGAATAATTAATATCGTCAATAATGATAACATAGTCCACATTAATAAATTATAGCAGTTGGCCTGTCTTTTCTACTTTTCTTGACGATGAATTGCATTTTGGAACCCCCGCAAAGTCACACCATTTACTACTTTATTATTATTATTTTTATATATCTTATTTAGTTTTCTTAGCTCCAAAATAAATAAATCTTACAGCTTTCATTTACGTCTTGTGATAAGTTTTTATTATCCATCCTTCAACTTTCATTTTAAATTTTATTTTATTTCACGTGTACGGAAAAAGAGTTTAGTCCTCCATGCTTTTTGTTGAGTGTCGCAGCTTATAAAAAAAACATGTGTATATATATCATAGCATATGATTGTAATAAATTATTATATTAAAATATGTCTTTAATTTTTGTAAGATTTAAGTTTAAATAGGAACACGGCTGCAGATAGAATATGAGATGAATTGTTGTTGGAGTAGTTATTCGGTGGTGGAAAATTAGTTGTTGACACAATTTATGTAGAAGAGATTCAATGTGTTTATAAAATATTTAGTTTATGGTTTTAATACAATAAATATCTATTTTTTTTTCTTTGGTTGATAAAAAGAACCATGGTTGAATATAATTCCACCAATTTATTTAAAAAAAACGTGTTATTGGATAATCAAATTAATAAGAAGTTGTAATTCCAGCCAACCCGACCTAAAAAAAAAAGGAAAAAGAAAGAAAGAAGTATATATAAATACAGGTGTTACGATTTCCCAATAATGAGTATGTTCATGATCATGACATGAGAAGATGGGCCTCACTCGCTTGTCCACAATATATGACAAAAGACGGCCTGGCAGGCCCGTGAATGCTTAGACTATCGTCCCAGGAAAATTGGGTGTCGGGACAATTCAGATTCGAGTCTGGCAACTCCGATTGCCGGTTGCCTTTCAAGAACCCTCTAGGGTTTACATTCAGGTTCGGATTCTTTACACAATCCTGATTTCGTAGCTTCTTAAGCCTTGGGAATTTTACTTTTCTTCGATTCGGTTATTGATTTTCAAGAAATTGAAGTTAAAAGGCCGATTTCGTTGGCTGCATTTGGGCTTCATTTGTCCTTCGTTTCTGGTTCCATTTTCCGGGAAATTGAGAGAGAATTATTGTCTAGAATCCTTAAATTCAGTTAAGCTTGGGAGTTTGCGGTCTTCATTGTACTTTGGTCTGTTCAGTATGAAAAGTCATCTTGCAATTTATAATTCTTGCATAGATTTATGCCCAGTTGCATATAGTTTCTGGGTAAAACTTTCCAGTATATATTGCAAATATCTCGAAGAACAATTTAGGAAGTCGAGTTCTGTACATAAAGAAAGGACAACTAACCGACAGGGAGCGACCCAACAAATTGCATAATTCTCATGATTTTCTTTCGATTCCATTAAAACTATACCAAGTCAAAGTGAAATGCTGAACCTGAGTAGGTCATTCTTCGTAACTCTTATTTACTATTTTTTGGGGAGGGGTGTTATAAATGAAGCATCAGGACCTCTTGTTTCTTCCATCTTTAATCCCGTAATGTTTGTATCGTTTTTCAATCTTGGTTATGTGTGTGTAAGTTGCTGGGATTTTCTCTGTCATTTTCTTCAGATTTCTATTGCCTGGCCGTACTTCAAAATGGGTAAGAATCAAGCGTACAAAGCTATGCAGAAAGCCAGGCTGGGATCCTCAAGCTCTACTGGGCCAGTTGAGATTGAAGATGGAATGGTTTGTACCCTTTCACACTACTGCCCCTCTTGAGTTACTTTCATTGAGACGTTCATCCTTGAAATTTCTCTCACGCGATGTTCTATTTTTTCACTAACTAAATCTTTAGTAATTTATTGCTAGCAATGGTGTGCTATTCACTTTTCTAATGAATTTTGTTCTCAAAGGGTAGGGAAGTGGTATAATCTGTCAGTGTTATTTACTCCGTAAATTCATAAAATGTTGTCCAAGGTTCAAACTGACTTTGATTATTTGAATTTTTACAATGTTTAATAGTTATAAAACACCAATGTCAATAGCATCCTTTCTTACTAGGTGCTACAGAAAATATCCGTTTTGTAGTGAATTGGAGAATATTTAGACTGGAGAAGGTAGCATTTTGTGGTTTCTATGTTGTAGTAGGTGATTTTTTTTGGTATTGATCACTGTGAAGTTTGACGTTTTAATTGGAAGGACTGTTTTTCTCCAATCGTTTGTAATTATTATATTCATTTGAAGTTCATACTTTTTATGTGACGTTAGTTTTATTGGAACAACTATAATTTTTGTTACATTTGGTACCAAATCCAATGGAGTCTAGTGGCCTACTTCTCCTATATTTAAAAAACCAAAGAAACAAGAAGCGGCTTCTTTTGGGTAAACAATATTTAACGATGTCTTGATATGAATGATAATTGGATTGAGTTAAACTACTGTCATGTAGAGATGGCACGGTAATCCTGCATAAGAAAAAACAGTTGTTTTCCCTTATAAATCATTAATAAAGTGGTCTGACTCTGTCGCTGCTTGGATCTTCATTTTGATATGACTATATGATCTGTTGGAGAACAAAATCCAAGTTAGCCCTGGATAATTGGCTGATGACAGGCCTGTTATTAATGAAGTAAGATTTTTTTATTTATATATTTTTGTATATCAGTTGAGATTCTGATGCTGAATTATTCATTAGTATATTAGGGATATTCCTCCTTTATTGTTATTGATGAGGACTGTCTCAGGTGGATGGTTCATTTCATTCACCAGAGTGGCATGCTGCTCGTTTGGCCAGCCTTAATACTTCGCACACGATTACCTGGGAGGAATATAAACGGAAGCAAAAGGTAATTTTCCGTTGATTCAAGTTCAAATACTTTCCTCAAGTATTAGTGTCTAGATTCGATTGTCTTATTCATCCTTGCAATTGCTTTGCCCAAGTGTACGGAACATATGATTGGTAACATACTAGGCAGGTATATGCTGGTCCGCATGATGCACTGTTTTCTTTTTTAATTTGTAACCAGCATCTTCTTTTTCTTGTCAGATAGTATAATTATCCATGACCAAACTTTATTGCGATTTAAAGAATCTTTAGTGACCAGAGAATGGTGGTTTCCTTCTCCACAGTCAACCAACCATTGCAGATATTTACCATATCTGCTTCAGTCTGACATTATGGGAATTGTTTGTTGCCTTGGTTATTATCAATTTTACCTGACATATCCATGTGACGTTCCATTTGGTGCAATAGGAAGATGAATTGAAAAAGGGAGAGCTGGAAGCAGACACGGATAGAATGATGAAAGAATATAGAGCGCAATTGGATGCTGAGAGGGCACGCAAACTTGCTCATGGAAGAAACCGTTCTAGTGGCAAGACGGGTCATGAAAAGGGTACGTTTGATGAATTTTGACGTTAATTAGATAAATGAGAACTTCTAAAGTGGGGTCAGCGTTACAGATAGGAAGAACAGAGATTTAAAGAAGCGGAGCAAAAAAAAGAGAAAGGTGCCAACATTTTGCAACTCTTACTACCATGATTCAACTATATTGCATTTTGATAATTTTTGCCCATATGAGTTGAAAAATGTTGCTGAACTTGATGACGCCACTATAGTTACCCTAGTCATGTGGAAATGGTCACCATGAAACCATGAAGCACACCTTTTCGGCACAAGGGTTCTTCGGTGCCTAGGTTAATTTAATCTAGTAAAATAATGGGTGCAATTTTTATGTTACATATTATTGCAATCCCTTCTGCTTCATCCATCTCCAGAGTTAAGATTCACATGAAATAGTTGTAACTACGACTGTGGCCTGTAGGAATAAATTGAACTCTGAGACGCAAGTCTTAGAATTATACAGTACTCGTAAGGAACGTGGATAAAGTCTGCCAAGGATGTTATCATCCGTAATCATTTCTCTCAATTGTATCTTGTTAACCATCTTATACGGTTCTCTCTTTTTTTTTTCCTTCAATAACGTGAATGAATCTTTGTTCGATTATTGAAATATTTAAAAAGTCAGCCATGTATATTCCCTGTTGTAGCATTCCAAGAGGAAATCGTCCGAGTCTAGCTCCTCGAGTTCATCCTCTGATATGTCCAGCAGCGATGAAGAGGAAAGGGAATCAAGAAGATCCAAATCCAGATCGAAGAGATCAAGAAGGGAAAAGAGGCATAAGTCGAGAACCAAGCACTCTTCCAGCGATGAAGAAGAGGCCGATGGTCCGGTACCACTGTCAAGATTTTTTGAGAAAGTGAAGAGTTAAGGGGCATTTGTTCAGTAACGTTTATACAATTTCCAGTCTTGAAATAGCATATTGATCCTCTTCTTCTTCATTTGCATCTACGCATTGTTGTTTCAATTATTGGGTTTTTAAGGTAGGAGTGGTCCATGTCGTAGAAGATTGGACCCATGTGATGATGCGAATTACCGAATGTGAACGATCAAGTTATCAAAACTGCAAATATTCTAAACTAACTCCCACAGAACAGACGTCCTTGTTACAGTTATTTTTAGGATAATGCACGTGGAAGAAAAAAAAAGAGGTCAAATAGTGAAATTGACTCTAGATTTAAACAGTAATTTTATTAGGTGGAAGCAAGAAAAATGTTAGTATATCGCCTTCTCGTTGGACGGGCTTTTGCTATATATATGTATCTACGTATGTGTATTTATATAAATGTATGATGTCCAAATGTCTGGCAAGGTTGAAAAAACAAAAACATTTCCTAAAATTTTTAATTCATCTTTTATATAATGATTTTTTTAATTAAATTATTACAGTCACAAGAGGTTAAAAGAATGAGGTTATTTTTTGATATATGTCTATTTTATAAAATTAAAATATTTAATATTTTCAACTCAATTAATAAAGTATATTTTAATATAACATCAACATTTTGTTAGTTTTTTTTCCGGAAATAAAACAGAGCATTAACAGCCCAAGATAAAGTACTACACTGAGTTAATAAGTCGGGGCATGGCGATTGCAGGCTCTGTTAGCTTCTGGAGACAGAGAGAAATTTCAGCTTGCATGAACTTCAACAGACTGGGAGCGTTTTTGTCTTTTCCTTTGTAATTTAGTTTCTTCTATATTTTAGCATCCATTTTGCTTAGTTAATCATAGCTTATAGTGTTTCTCAATTATGCTTAGCTGCACGATATGGTTGGGGTAATAGTCCATCGTTTGTTTTGTTCCAAGTGGGTATTAATAAGAATTTCCAAAGAAGCATGGTAGAAATGCCCGTCATTTCTAATTGTTAAGGAATCGAATTGGAAAATTTTAAATAGTTCGTGATCGTGTTGGGAAGGTGACACTGCACATTCAGCTTCCTTGGATGTTGAATCGAGTTCTCGAATAGTTTCTCTTAAGATTGACAATGAAAGTTTTTCTACCAGTGCCGTATTCTAGTCCTTGTCACTAAATTGACTAAACTATCCCAATTCTTTCCATTATGCTTGTGGTTTTATGTCAAGGACTTGGTAAGTGATTTAGCTAACTCAATTACGTGTTTTATTTTCCTTGTTTTTTATGCAGTGTAATCTTTGTTTTTTTTCTTCTCACATTCGATATATATATTTTTCTTAAATTTATTTATTTAAATTAATTAATTGGGTTATATTTAGAACCTTTCTTATGGTTTTTATCTTCACTTATTTTTCAATTGTTGGAGAATGAGTTGGGATTTGAGAGTATGGAAGGGTGTGACTGCCCATGGTTACTATAAGGTTGCTTAACTCATGAAATTGAACATGTATCGAATTTAAAATTTTGTGTATCAGAATTGTGTATAGTAAGTTTTAATTTTTAATTAGTACTTAAAAATAAATAAATAAATAAAATATATATAATAAAAACTTAAAATAAAAAAGATAGATATTTGAACTAAAACGAGGGGTGTAAGCAAACGAACCGATTTGGTTCGATCGGTAATAATATGAACCGTTTCGGTTCGGTTCGGTTCTTACAAATCGAATAGAACATTTTGCCCTACATCCTTACAATCTTGGTCTCCCCTGCTCCACCTTCTCTCTGAACAAACCCGCCGCTTCTTCTTCTGCATCCCACGACTCCCACCTCTCTAGGTCACCAACCCTGCTCTGTCGCCCTTTCTTCTCATTCTTCTTCTTTCAGCGTGTCACGGCCACCATCAGGTTAGTAAAAAAGCCCTAATTTTCTGTTTGTTTTTTAATCGAAAGGTTTCGATTCGTTCTGCTTTTTACGGTTCCACCATTGGAAACGTACGATACATGAAATTTACGATTCAAATCGCGATCTGAATCGTTTTGAATCGTACTACGTTTTTAACAACACTGTTTTTTAGCTGAATGTCTTTTGAAGTGGTAATTTCAATAGGATGTTTTATGTGAAATGTTCAGTCCTATTCAAGTTGATTATATTTTCTTCAAGTAATGTATCCGCATGCTAAGTAAATCTATTTTTAAGGATCACTATATCATAATTGCATAGAAAACAAGAAGATAGACTTATCAAGTCATTCTCTATGTTTTAGTCATAATTTAAGATCTGGAGTCATGTCTTGTTGCCTTATATGTTCTCTCTGTATGATGTTCCATTTCAGAGCCGGAGTCAAATATTAATCATAATTCAAGATGCAAGTTGTTCCCTCAGAAGGAGGGAATGCTTTGGCTACAGTTGGTCCTCGGCCAATGGAGTGGTCCACTGTTCCATATAGTGCTCCTCAAGGACCTGGGCCAAATGGGAAGCAGCGGACCTCAAGTCTGGAATCATCGATCATGTTGTTGACAGGCCATCAGAGTGCCATTTATACATTAAAGTTTAATCCAGCTGGAGACGTGATTGCATCTGGGTCTCACGACAAGGAAATTTTCCTATGGAACGTTCATGGTGATTGCAAGAACTTTATGGTTTTGAGAGGGCACAAGAATGCAGTTCTAGACCTTCATTGGACTACGGATGGATTTCAGATAGTTACTGCCAGCCCTGATAAAACGCTGAGAGCATGGGATGTTGAGACTGGAAAACAAGTTAAGAAGATGGCAGAGCACTCCTCCTTTGTCAATTCATGTTGTCCCACGAGAAGAGGGCCACCGCTAATTGTCAGCGGATCTGATGATGGAACTGCAAAACTTTGGGATATGCGTCAAAGGGGTGCCATTCAAACATTTCCAGATAAATATCAGATTACAGCAGTAAGCTTCTCCGATGCATCAGATAAGATCTTCACAGGTGGAATCGACAACGATGTCAAGGTATGGGATTTGCGCAAAGGTGAAGTGATGATGACACTCCAAGGCCATCAAGATATGATAACTGGAATGCAGTTGAGTCCTGATGGTTCTTATCTTCTCACAAATGGAATGGACTGCAAGCTCTGCATATGGGACATGCGCCCCTATGCCCCCCAAAACCGATGCGTAAAGATCTTGGAAGGGCACCAACATAACTTTGAAAAGAACCTTCTGAAATGTAGCTGGTCTCCAGATGGTAGCAAAGTCACCGCAGGTAGTTCAGATCGGATGGTTTACGTATGGGATACGACTTCTCGACGTATCTTGTATAAGCTTCCTGGGCATACTGGATCTGTCAATGAGTGTGTCTTCCATCCCAGTGAGCCTATCGTTGGATCTTGCAGTAGTGATAAACAGATATATCTTGGGGAGATTTGATCCTGATCTACATCAGGAATTGTCAACCTGTAATGTAGTGTTTTATGGTTCATGGATATCAATTAGTCAATTGCTTCTATTTTCCGAATGTAAGTGACCCACAAAAATGATGGTCGGTTTTCAAGCTTGACATTTTGGGTCTTGTCTGGCCACTGTAGCAAACGTTTTCATGACAAATACTTGCATTTGGAACCTTGTTTCCATATCATGATTTGTGGAATTTCTTTTTAGGCTTTTTTTTCACAGCCACTCCCCCCTGCTTTTCAAATATTCTACGCACCTTCTTTTTTCTTTTAAATTAATTTTTGGTTTGTCTGTTTGCTCGTCGTGGGTTCCATTTTCAAGCTGTAGAGTAAATGGCAGCCCTCGATGGGATTCCCAAGTACAGTGTGCTCTGCTCTTTTTTTTTTTCTTTTTCTTTTTTAAATTTTTTCTGAATAATAGCATGGAATGGACTGAAAGCGAGCCCAAAGTTAAATTTTGTCGTAGGCCGTTGATTAATGGATGGCAAATGCGAGAATCAATATTTTGATTTTTGACTAGGATATTTGAGAATAGGTCTATTAAATTGTGAATTATGAAAAAGGTTTTAATGCCACTAGAAAAATTAAAATATGTATTTAAATTAACCCATAAATATTTTTCTATTTTTAAATAAGTTAAAAATAATCTATATTAATATTATACATATTTTAATGATATTTTTTATATTGGTTGATTTTTTTATAAATATTTTTTATTTTAAAATAAATTAAAAATAATTTATATTAATATTATACATATTTTAGTGATATTTTTTATATTGGTTGATTTTTTTATCTTATAATAAAAATGTCGATTTATCCCTCCTCCCTGTGGAAATGATTAACTGAAAAGACGCATAAGTGATTTAATATTATCTTATTTCATTGAAAGAAAATTAATTTTCCCAAATAAAACGAACGGCAATAATTTGTTGAAATGGACGCGAACTGACAGAACCACACATACACAGTACACACAATAAAATAAAATCTCAAAAAGGAAATAACTCTGTGACTGGGAGCTCGAGCCTTGAGGTTGAGGCGAACATTTCTGCTTCTTTGATAAGGAGAGAAGACTATACTGAAGGAGAGACCGAATAGATCTTTCCGGCCAATGGCTTCTGCTTCTGCTTCTGCTTCTATGATCAATTCTCTGATATCCCCTCTCTGCAACTCCGGCGCCAAATCAGAGGTCTTCTTCTTGAACTCTCCGGCCACTCCTAGATGCCGGACGCTCGGACGCACTCCGTCTCTTAATTCGAAGAAGAGCAACCTGTTTGGGACAGTCTCTTCCTCTTCTGCCTCTGTTGTTTGCAAGGCGGTATCGGTTAAGCCTCAGACTGAGATTGAAGGCCTCAACATCGCCGAAGATGTAACTCAGGTGACGATGATGGTCAACGGACCCTCCTTTCTCTTACCTTGCCATTGAGATGTTAGGTTCCTTGATTCCTTGGCTAAATTCCATGCTTATGTTATTCTCGTATTGCTTAAACTATGCCTCGAACAGTTTTCCTAGAACTTCGTTTCTTACGATTTTGAGCTGGTTGATATAACATGCATGTGGCGGTTTTATGCAAGGCTTTATTAAATTGAGCACTCCTTTTTAGAATTCTGAGCCTTATGGGAGATGGGTATTCTTTCCATGGCGAAAATGTGCTAGGAGTTGGTTTGGCTGACATCATACTGAAAATTCAGCAGATTATATTTTGGCTTTCCATAACTTTTTATATGGTGAATTAATACAGCATGATGACTGTAGATACCGTTTCACAGTATAAGGATAGTATCCAACCATCTACTGTCATTTCTGTTACCATTGCGATAAATTTACTATTTTCTTTTTTCTAATCGAAGTAAAGTAAATAAATAAAAAGAACTCGTAGCATGATGTAAAATGTGTTGTAATGAACATCATGGATTGCTGTTAATTCAATCGGAATTACTGTCTTTTCAGATATGCTAAGCGATAAAGTAACCTTTTCTATTTCTTTTTACGTCATTTCGTACGATCATGATGCAGCAGACTTTAGCAACCGAATAAATCATCCTAGGATGGTTTAGGAACAACTGTGGTTCTTGATTTAAGACAGTAAATAAAATCCATCGGTCAATTGGTTCTCTCATTCATTTGAATATATTGAACTTCAACCTATGTCTATTTGTATTAACTATCCCTTTCTTTGTTATGCAGCTGATAGGTAAGACACCCATGGTCTACCTGAACAATATCGTCAAGGGATCTGTGGCAAACATTGCAGCTAAACTTGAAATAATGGAACCATGTTGTAGTGTGAAGGACAGGTAAGAAAAATAGCAGGATGAAGTCAAGTGGTCCATTGATGTATGGCATACTGTATTTGTACAATTATCATAGGCCTACTATCGAAGAGGATGTTTACACATCTTTTTGAATGGATTATCCATGAAGCTAGCTAATATGATCATGCGAGTTTTACTGTCTATACTTAATCAGAGAATGGGTGCATCTTCTCACTATTCATCCTCAAAATGTCTTCAGGATAGGTTATAGTATGATATCTGATGCTGAGCAGAAAGGACTTATTTCACCAGGAAAGGTAATATATACAAGATGTAATTGTCATGCTTCTTGAAAATTATGTGTCATACACTTGTTAACAAAGCACAGGCAACCCTCTGCCATTTCCTCTCCGGAGTTTCACTGTTTCATTACATTGGATGTTCGGATAAAAATATCTATCCAAATACAATACATGTTGTATTTTCCATTCTTCACATGCATTTCTAGTTTTTGACCTGTTTTGCAACACATGTAGAAACTGAAAATACAATACAATGTCCTCCAGCAGCTAGACTTGGCACAGGAATTGCACTGTTTTAATGTTCTGTTTCATGCAAACTTAAGAATATGGATCTTCTCATGGTTATTTAAAAATAGCTACTGCAGTGCTCCAAATTTTATTTTGAGATACTTGTATCAACAAAGAGAGCTTCCACAGTAGTATATCAAATCTGCTGATGAGCGATGACATCTTCTTTATATAATTGGCCTACCTCCCATGATAGTGATTTTGGGCTAATTTATATTGGAACTTGTTGCATTTACATGTATTAACAAGAAAGCTTGCATATGAGCATACCAGATTTGCTGATGGCATCTCCTTTATATGGTTGTATACCTTGTTTGGTTAGTAATCTTGCACTAATTTGTTTGGAACCTAAAACATTTACCTAGATCTTTCCAATTCCGGGTTGATGTAACTGTAGAAATTTTTGGTCCTGTTCAGACTACTCAATAACTTAATCCTCTTACGTATTTCCAGAGTATTTTGGTTGAACCTACCAGTGGAAACACAGGGATTGGTCTCGCATTCATTGCTGCTTCAAAAGGATACAAACTAATATTGACAATGCCATCATCAATGAGTTTGGAGAGGAGAGTTCTTTTAAAAGCATTTGGAGCTGAACTTGTTTTAACTGATGCAGCAAAGGGCATGAAGGGAGCAGTTCAGAAAGCTGAAGAGATTTTAAAAAAGACACCTAATTCTTACATGCTTCAACAATTTGACAATCCCGCTAACCCTAAGGTATGAAGTCAAAAGTCTTGCTCACACAAACAGACCTTGATCTACATGGTTATTTAAATTTAAGACCAAGTAAAATTAAATAAAAGTTGTTACTTTTTGGGTTCCCACTCCACTGGCTCACCATGGACCAAATAAATATATTAGTATTAACGCAGCCATAATCTTCTTCATCTATGATACGCATTGACACTTTTGTTGGGATAAAATTTTTGTGCATATTGAACATTTCGATACACCAACAGTTGTTGAACGTGTTGGATCCAACCATTTTTTTACACTTAAGCACAATATTTGTTAATCACAATAAATATGTAGTCACTCACTTGTGTGCCTATGAATAATTGTTGAACACTTGAACTAGGGTGTTCAAATATTTATTAATTTATTTATTGAGAGTGAAAAATAATAAGGGAAAAAAATAATTTTTTCTAACATATAAATACATAAGCATTACAAAACTTGATTTTGCACTTTATATTCTACTTTTATTTCAAAGTATGCAAATCAGGTTTTGTAATTGCACTCCGGAGTTGCCAATCATATTTGCACATGGTAAGTTACACGGCCTAATTGAAGTGGCAAGTGAAAATTTCCTGGCAAGGATAATTTTTTTGCATAAGGATTACACAACTAAGGAAACCCAAACCTGAAAAGTAAACTATGATGCCATCCAAATTATGATTACTTAAGTTTTAAATCCTTGGAACACTCAGCATTTTGATGCAATGCAACTATATAATTAGAGATATGGACGATGTGGTTTGTGATGGTCAGACATAATATTACCAGAGAAAATATAAGTAAAATAGAGAACAGTTCAATAGCTTGTCAACATGTATAGACAAGCATTACTGTGATTTCATAGAATACTTATGGTGATATTGTAACTGCTAAAAAATTTAATGGTAAGGCTTGGATTTTCCGGTCATGGATGATATAGTTTGCTGCTTTTACAAAGGATGGATTTAATGATATTTGAACATGAATACGCAGGTACACTTTGAGACAACCGGTCCAGAGATATGGGAAGACAGTAATGGCAAGGTGGATATTTTTGTTGCAGGAATTGGAACAGGCGGAACAATTTCTGGTGTTGGCCGATTCTTGAAACAGAAAAATCCAAAAATCAAGGTCTTCTCTCAAAGGCTCATCGTATTATTTTTATTTTTTATTTTTTACTCATTTGTTTCTAGTTATTGAAGTTTAACTGCTCTTCTTTGCCTCCATTATGCAACAGGTTATTGGTATTGAACCTACGGAAAGTAACATACTTTCTGGAGGAAAGCCTGGTAAGTTAGTTAACCATTTGATTTTTACTGATTCTAATTTATGCATCTTTATTTTTCATATCACTAAATTGAGGTGTCCATTATATTGTCATGGAAAATTGCAGGACCGCATAAAATTCAGGGAATTGGAGCTGGTTTTGTACCCAAGAATTTGGATGAAGGGATAATTGATGAAGTCATACAGGTCTGGCTCCTGCTTACTTTTCACCAATCATGCACTCGATCAAGCATTTTTCTCTTCTATTCAAATCTCTTTGAGGATTGAAATGTACTACATGATTACTGGTCAAAATATATAGCTCTTCGTCGTTAACTAACAACCTTGTGTAATATTAATCCAAGTGCGGAATTGATGCTCCCTTACCTAAAGATTACTCAAACAGGCATGCACGGGTGCACACACAGACATACTCACGATTCCTCTGAAATTGATCTGATGGTCCTTAACTGGATGCACCATGCACTGGAAACCAGTTGGCTGAGATATGCTTCTTTATTTTGTTGACAAGATAAACACATCACTACTCTTATATGTAGGTTTTCCATTTCAAAATGCTGACTGATTGTTATTTTGGCAGATATCTAGTGATGAAGCTATTGAGACAGCCAAACAATTGGCATTGCAGGAAGGCTTGCTGGTTAGTACTCCGTTTTTTATTTTCACTTAATCTTTTGGACCATTTTGAAATTTCAATCGAGAACAAAATATGTGGACAAAAGAGAAGAGCTATGATTCAACTAACTTAACTAAAAATAGTGGAATGGAATTGCCCTTTTCTAGCCTTGTTCTATATCTTTTGAACTGTATGCACGTTCCCTGACATTAACTCATGGACTTGATATTAGGTGGGCATTTCTTCTGGAGCAGCAGCTGCAGCTGCATTGCAGGTTGGAAAGAGACCTGAGAATGCTGGAAAGCTTATTGTGGTACGCACCTTATTTTATTTTAATTAAACTGAAATGAAGATTTTCCCCTATCTCATGCTTGGTTGAGTAGGAGATTGAGACTATTTTTTTTTTCTAAACCGTGAGTGTTTGGACAACTTTGCACACACCTCGACTAATTTGACGTGACAACTACCTGACTCTACTACATTTGGTTTTTAAGGAAACTCATAGGATATTAAATCTTAGGTAGGTGGCCACCCTAGTTATCTATTCCCTCTAAATTCTTTAGAATTTAGCCAACCTATAATGGTTGATAAGACATCATTCATTTTCAATCCTTTTTCCAGTCAAATTAAAAATATATATATATAGGATCTTTCATTCTTGACTTGGTATAGCTCATGAGCTTCAGTCGCGGCATCTTTTATGAACCAAAAAAGGTTCGTTAGTATGCAATGCTGAACAAATTTACGGAAGCCCAAATGAATAATGGGTTCAGACTGCAGAAGACATTTTTTCTTCAGCATTGCTTAGATAAAAGAAACTGATTATAGGAAGAAGCATCTGGGATTGTTTTTGTTGT